TGAAACCATAATGAATATAGGGGACACAGTGGGATAGCTGTACACCCAGGATAAATATAGGGGACACAGTGGGATAGCTGTACACCCAGGATAAATATAGGGGACACAGTGGGATAGCTGTACACCCAGGATAAATATAGGGGACACAGTGGGATAGCTGTACACCCAGGATAAATATAGGGGACACAGTGGGATAGCTGTACACCCAGGATAAATATAGTGGTCTCAGTAACTTTAAACCTAGGATAAATATAGGGGCCCCAGTACGATAATTACACCCAGGAAAAATATAGGGGCCCCAGTATGATAACTACACCAGGATAAATATAGGGGCCCCAGTACGATAATTACACCCAGGATAAATATAGGGGCCCCAGTAAGATAACTACACCCAGGATAAATATAGGGGACCCAGTATGATAATTACACCCAGGATAAATATAGGGGCCCTAGTAGGATGACTGTACACCAAGGATAAATATAGTGGTCTCAGTGGGGTAACTTTAAACCTAGGATAAATATAGTGGTGTCAGTGGGGTAACCTTAAACCTAGGATAAATATAGGGGCCCCAGTAGGATTACTGTACACACAGGATAAATATAGGGGCCCCAGTAGGATAACTGTACACACAGGATAAATATAGGGGCCCCAGTAGGATAACTGTACACACAGGATAAATATAGGGGCCCCAGTAGGATAACTGTACACACAGGATAAATATAGGGGCCCCAGTAGGATAACTGTACACACAGGATAAATATAGGGGTCCCAGTAGGATAACTGTACACACAGGATAAATATAGGGGCCCCAGTAGGATAACTGTACACACAGGATAAATATTGTGGTCTCAATTGGATAATTAACATAAACATCATCATTTATACTCATACATTCTAATTCATGTGTTTCCCTTAAAGTGCAATTCTCTAATTCTCTCACTCGTTCATCATTTATATCGTAGTTGCCAAGTTTTTGGAATCTCCAATGGAGAGATTCAGTTTTGACTCTAAGCATCAGAAAAACTCAAATACTTTAATGAGCTAGTCATGTAAGTTGTATTTATGAACCTATAAATATTAAAAATGTCTGGGTGAAAATTGGGGAGACATTCTCAAACCAAGGTCAATCAAGATGTCTGTGGTCGGGAAATGTAATCGTCATTAAAAATGTGAATTAAATAGCAATATTGAATATAAAAGATTATGAACAATTGGTAAAGTCAAAAAGTATGTAAAAAAAAATGTTTACATTTGCGTATAGTAACATTCTTATTATACACAAAATGGAAGCAAAATGCACAACAGTTATCTACTTCTATAAGATCTCGTCAGCAGTGATGGAACACAAATTAACATGTATATGAATACTCCGGATCAAAATATTTGTGGAATGTCACAGTATCTCTATATCAAAAATATCATTAACAGGTATCACACTAACACATTCTAACATAAAGTGGACTATTATAATTTGTAATACAAGTGTACTAATAAAAAAGTAAAAAAAAAATACATAGAAACATGAACTGATATTACAAAATACAAGAACAATAAAAAATATTTCTTTCTCTGAACAAGACCGAAAAATATGTCCAGAGGAAAAATTTATCAACCATTGTGACTAGATCCTCAGGAATGCAGTATGTCTGCCTGGGTACCTTTACTCAGTAACACAATCTTGTGTCCGCTAATAAGCCCATCTTTATTTATGTACAAACCCACTCTCTCACCTTTAGATAAACAACATGTTGCTCCTTGGGTTTGCTTTAGGATAAATATGGCATTTCACCTTTGAGCAAAATGTAAATCCAAGTATAAAACGAACCTTGAAATACAAAGTTATACATTTAAATTGAGCTAAGATGGTTTTGCCTTAAAACCTTCCAATGTAGGAATAAAAACTGAGAAACATATTCATAACTAACTAAAAAGATGACTCCTATCAGACAACTGAGGAATCTGTTTACATCTTTATCTATCTATATATATATCTATATATATATATATCTATATATATACCTAGATTATGCTGTGTAAATAAGAGTAAAAAAATGTATTTCTCATACAAATGGATATTAAATGCTTGAAATACAATTACAAATTTTAATTTTAATTCAATTAAAAACATGTTTCAATTCATTTGCTTGGTTTGTCATCCCATTCATTAACTGCCTTGGATCAATTTGAGTCAGGGTCTTTGGTGGCTACCACACTGAACAAAATACAGGAGGTCTGTCACATGCTGATCAGAGCAATTGGAGTCAGGGTCTCTAGTAGCTACCACAATGAACAAAATACAGGAGGTCTGTCATATGATGTTCAGAGCAATTTGAGTCAGGGTCTCTAGTAGCTACCAAACTGAACAAGATACAGGAGGTCTGTCACATGCTGTTCAGAGCAATTTGAGTCAGGGTCTTTAGTAGCTACCAAACTGAACAAGATACAGGAGGTCTCCCACATGCTGTTCAGATCAATTTAGTATAGTGCCTTGCCCAAGGACACAACAATTTCAGCACAGACTTGTCCATACCTCAGTTTCCTAAGATACACAATTCACCACGGGTAGGAAGCATCATACTTTTCACCTCAAATCTTCACCTGTAGGGCAATACTTTATGCCCACAGAGCAAGTTTCTAAGTAGTTAACAGATTTTACAGAAAAATTACAGCCAAACCAAAAATATTTACATTCATTGACATGGTTTGTCAATTTTTTACTGTTCCTCCTTCAATCGGAGTACGTGACTCAAAATAGACATATATAGCATGTCATATATTTCATAACAAGTCTCTGAATTTTATCAAACATAGAAAGTTTTGTACAAAAATCCCTGAGGGGACCACATCTTCTCTGTTCTATCTTCCCGTGACGATAGGTGATCGTCTCTCCAAATGTAAAGTTACATCACAAATCAACACCAAGAAAACTGTCAATTCTTTTTTATCACTGTTGTCAGTCCAGATGGATTCAATATATAGCATACAACTCTAGATACCAACATAATTTACCAATCTTGCCCTTCAATGATCCTACAGCTGTTCTTTGGCCTTCAACTACCTTGAAACTAACCTATGTCCATTGACTACCCAGTAAATTGACCTCTTGACTACACTGTAACTGATCAATGCCCTGGAGACACCAACAGCCTCGTAACTGATCCATGCCCTGGAGACACCAACATCCTCGTAACTGATCCATGCCCTGGAGACACCAACAGCCTCGTAACTGATCCATGCCCTGGAGCCTCGTAACTGATCCATGCCCTGGAGACACCAACAGCCTCGTAACTGATCCATGCCCTTGAGACACCGACAGCCTCGTAACTGATCAATGCCCTGGGGACACCGACAGCCTCGTAACTGATCAATGCCCTGGGGACACTGACAGTTTTTTAACTGATCCATGCCCTGGGGACACCAACAGCCTCATAACTGATCCATGCCCTGGGGACACCGACAGCCTCCTAACTGATCCATGCCCTGGGGACACTGACAACCTCGTAACTGATCCATGCCCTGGGGACACCAACAGCCTCGTAACTGATCCATGCCCTGAGGACACCGACAGCCTCGTAACTGATCCATGCCCTGGGGACACCAACAGCCTCGTAACTGATCCATGCCCTGGGGACACCGACAGCCTCGTAACTGATCCATGCCCTGGGGACACCAACAGCCTCGTAACTGATCCATGCCCTTGAGACACCGACAGCCTCGTAACTGATCCATGCCCTGGGGACACCAACAGCCTCGTAACTAATCCATGCCCTGAGGACACCGACAGCCTCGTAACTGATCCATGCCCTGGGTAACTGATCCATGCCCTGCACAGCCTGGAGACACCAACAGCCTAACTGATCCATGCCCTGAGGACACCAACAGTCTCATAACTGATCCATGACCTGGAGACACCAACAGCCTCGTGACTGATCCATGCCCTGGAGACACCGACAGCCTCGTAACTGATCCATGCCCTCAGGACACCGATCCATGCCCTGGGGACATCGACAGCCTCGTAACTGATCAATACCCTGGGGACACTGACAACCTCGTAACTGATCCATGCCCTGGGGACACCAACAGCCTCGTAACTAATCCATGACCTGGGGACACCAACAGCCTCGTGACTGATCCATGCCCTGGGGACATAGACAGCCTCGTAACTGATCCATGCCCTGAGGACACCGATCCATGCCCTGGGGACATCGACAGCCTCGTAACTGATCAATACCCTGGGGACACTGACAACCTCGTAACTGATCCATGCCCTGGGGACACCAACAGCCTCGTAACTAATCCATGACCTGGGGACACCAACAGCCTCGTAACTGATCCATGCCCTGGGGACATAGACAGCCTCGTAACTGATCCATGCCCTGGGGACATAGACAGCCTCGTAACTGATCAATGCCCTGGGGACACCGACAACCTCGTAACTGATCCATGCCCTGAGGACACCGACAGCCTCGTAACTGATCCATGACCTGGGGACACCGACAGCCTCGTAACTGATCCATGACCTGGGGACACCGACAGTCTCATAACTGGTCCATGCCCTGGGGACATAGACAGCCTCGTAACTGATCCATGCCCTGAGGACACCAACAGCCTCGTAACTGATCCATGCCCTGAGGACACCGATCCATGCCCTGGGGACACCAACAGCCTTGTAACTGATCCATGCCCTGGGGACACAGACAGCCTCGTAACTGATCCATGACCTGGGGACACCGACAGCCTCCTAACTGATCCATGCCCTGGGGACATAGACAGCCTCGTAACTGATCCATGCCCTGGGGACACAGACAGCCTCGTAACTGATCCATGCCCTGGGGACACTAACAGCATAGTAACTGATCTATGCCCTGGGGACACTGACAGCCTCGTAACTGATCCATGCCCTGTGGACACTGACAACCTTGTAACTGATCCCTGTAATCAATCCATTCCTGGAAGCCTTGACTCCCTGTATGATATTTAGCTTAATACTTGTATTATATTACCGCTTGTTATAAAAAGACTTACTAGGTAGTAGAGGGTCTGATGCTCTTTTTCTCTTTAAACACGAATAATAGACGATACCACAAATGATGAACGGTGTCACAGACAGTAAAAACAACTGTTTGTTTGTCCATGGTTGTTCTGGGAAATAATATTCCTCATTTTCTTCAATATGAGAGTGAGTGAATCGAGGCACAGAATACTGATCGGGATGGGTACTGAACTGGAACACACGATTTATAATGATGCTAAATGCTGATTGGTCATACCAATGACATCCTGTCCATTTCGGCCTTCTATAATGAAAACATTCACTGTTTCGAGCTGTAGGTGGAGTGATACAATCTTTATTAAAAGCACATTTTAACCATGGTTTCATCACCCCCATCCATGTCTTGTTTGTACGGTAAAATACCATAGTTGTTGTGTCCATCATCCCAAAATCGATGAATGTACATCGTTTCTCATTCAGGTATTTAAACATTTCTGGACTAGTGTAGCTGATGAGGCCAGTGAAAATACTGGTCTCCCACAGGAAAAAGTTGCGGGTACTGCGATACTTCAACATGGTCAGGTCTGACACAGACTGCAGGCGGACATCCGGATCCATCCAGATAGCTGAACCAAACTCTTCTAACATGAGCTGTGTGGAAATAGATACATACAAAGTTAGCATACAGCCAAGAATACAGCCGTATATAAAAACTGCATTCTGATGAGTCAATAAATCAATATGGGTTTTCCCTGGGTATTTCAGTTTCCTCCCACAATAAGACCCCTCGCGTGCTTACATCTGGGCCAGCAAGAGTGATTAGTATAAGATGACATAACTTGTTTTGCAATTGTTGTAAAATAAATAAAGTTTATATTTACATATAAATCAATATGTTTACATTGATGATAATTTTGGAATCCTGTCAAGCTCTCAGGTACTGTATGTTACATTATAATCGTTTAATTGTGTGGAGCGGATCACGTTTTGTGTTTGTTACAGTTTTGTTTACTTAAGTTTTACTGCCTTCAACAATAAACAGAACATTTCTACAGACATATATCAAATGCTTTCTAAAATTTTGATTCAATTAAAAAAAGTTGCCGGATATTAAATTTTGCAATATCTTTAATGACTGTGAATTCAACCAAGTGAAATCCCCCTGAACACAAAATAACCCTAAATCATCTGTAGCACTGCATGAAGATATAACAAGGGCATTGTTTGAAAGTATAGTGTCTTTGTGTACTAGAGAAAACAAACAAATACAATTAATTGAATGAACATTAAATCTATGTGAAAGTCCAACACTCAGTAGCAGTGACCTACTTTCTGTCTGCAACATATTGTCTGATTTTTATTGAAATGGGACAAGAAACAGTATTTTCACATAACAAAGATTAAAATTTAAATTATAGGTCACAGTGATCTGAAGTTTATGCAGCCTCCTATAGTAATTCAGATATCTAACAAAAATAAATAGTAGTTTTAGTGAAGCTGATGAATGCTCCCTGAAAATGACTTTCTCGGACACAAAATTTAATGATAAAGTATTAATTCTGTAATTAAGAAGTTGCAGGCCCTGAATTGGGTATACTGCACATTCTCTTAGTATGACCAATGTATAAACTGGGTTTCAATAACTCCTAAATCATGCAAAAGATAGTTATGGTTCTTGAACACTGCACTTTTCCTTACCGAGTTCTATCTACCAATGAAATTTCATGTTAATACCTCTTATAGTTTTTGTGATATGCTCCGAACAAAATAATTACAGACGGACAAACGGATGGACAAAGTGGTGCCTCTGTGCTCTCCCTCCAGAGAGCATGAAAATACAATGGACATAGCCTTTACAGCAAATTTTAACTAGGCAGAACCTATTTAATCCAGAACTATATAAAGCATTAAGCAGTGGGGAAAAAAGCATTCAAACTGATTAGCAATCTAAAGTTTATGTTGTGAACACTGAAGCCTGTTATGTTATGACTCCTTAATATAGAAACTTATTTAATTTTAAACTTTTAATGTTGTAAAAAATTTTTTTTATTCTTTAAATATTTCTCTGATGACTGAAGTAGTAACTGACCTGGATAATTATTGGACGGTATGCTTTGTTGGCAAAATCCGCTACGTGCTGTGGGTAGACACTCGTATCAAATGTCCGAACATCGCACTGGCAATGTTTCTTCAGCTGTATAGAGATAAAACAGAGGTAGCAAATGAGAAAAAGATGAGTTAAAAGCTGATGATTAAGAAAAACAAGAGGCCCATGGGCCTTAACGGTCATCTGACAAAAAGCAAGCCAAACCTAGAAAGTGGGTTGAGGTCATTCATTTGAACAAACTTGGTAGCCTCTCCTCCAAGCATCTTACAGGCCCAATATCAGCACTCATGGACTTTTGCTTGTTGAGAAGAATTCGTTTGTATATTTTAACATATTTGACCCCTGTGACCTTGAAAGTGGGTTGAGGTCATTCATTTGAATAAACTTGGTAGCCTTTCCTCCCAGCATGCTACAGACCCAATATCGGCACTCATAGACTTTTGCTTATTGAGATGAAGTCCTTTGTATATTTTAACATATTTGACCCCTGTGACCTTGAAAGTGGGCCAAGGTCATTCATTTGAACAAACTTTGTAGGGCTCCATGCCAGCATGCTATGGGCCACAAGTATTAGCCCCCTAGGCCTTCTAGTATTTGAGAAGAAGTTATTTAAAGATTTTGACATATTTGACCCCTGCGACCTTGAAAGTTGTTCAAGGTCATTCATTTAAATAAACTTGGTAGCCTTTCCTCCCAGCATCCTACAGACCCAATATCGGCACTCATAGACTTTTGCTTATTGAGATGAAGTCCTTTGTATATTTTAACATATTTGACCCCTGTGACCTTGAAAGTGGGCCAAGGTCATTCATTTGAACAAACTTTGTAGGGCTCCATGCCAGCATGCTATGGGCCAAGTATTAGCCCCCTAGGCCTTCTAGTATTTGAGAAGAAGTTATTTAAAGATTTTGACATATTTGACCCCTGTGACCTTGAAAGTTGTTCAAGGTCATTCATTTAAACAAACTTGATAGCCCTTCATCCCAGCATGCCACAGGCACAATATCAGCAATCTGAGCCTTTTGGTTATTGAGAAGAAGTTGTTTAAAGATTTTAACATATTTGACCCCTGTGACCTTTAAAGTGGGTCAAGGTCATTCATTTGAACAAACTTGGTAGTCCTTCATCCCAGCATGTCACAGGCCCAATATCTACACTCTGAGCCTTTTGGTTAATGAGAAGAAGTTGTTTAAAGATTTTAACATATTTGACCCCTGTGACCTTTAAAGTGGGTCAAGGTCATTCATTTGAACAAACTTGGTAGAGCTCCATGCCAGTATCCTCTGTGCCAAGTATTAGCCCCCTAGACCTTCTAGTATTTGAGAAGAAGTCGTTTGAATGAAAAGTTTACGGACGGCACACGGCGGACGACGACGGACGAAGCATGATGACTATAGGTCATCGGACCCTTCGGGTCAGATGACCTAAAAAACCTACATGTACTTATGTTGATGTGGAAGGGATTGATACCTGGCTGAATTTTGGTGAAATTTTAACCCAATTGTTTACCTTATATCATTAATTTATATAGATATAAGCATTATTATTAAATAAAAGCAGTCAGTTTAATTAATGTGCCATGGTGTTTTTAACTTTTTTTTTTTTAGTGAAATCTTTTAGTCCCATCAACGCACACATTTAAATAATGGATGGTATTTTCATAATAAAAAAATTATGATGTTATTAAATTTTATTTTTTTTTAACTTTGAAAAGAAAGGATTTAAATGACTTACAATTGCTGCATCTAAACATTGTCACAATAATGTACCGGTACTCACCAAATTTAATTCTGACTGGTATAGTCCTATGTCAAACACGACCAGTTTGATGGTAAGACCTGAGCCTTTCTCATTCCCTTCAATCAATTGCTTTATCAGGCCCTGTATTATCCAAAAGTCATCTGAGGAAATAGCCGTAACAATAGGCGGTATCTGTGATAACTCTTTTGGAGCCTCTTCCCCTTGAAAAGTTTCTGCATACTTCTCTGAGCCAATTCTTCTGATGTATGGCATAGCTTCTCCATTAGGGTACATATCTGCAAACTTTATATTTTCTTCGTGTGTTTTACTAAACACAGCATCACAGAAACCATTTAAGTCGTCATCGTTAATGTTTCTGTGAACAGCAGCATACTGGAAACCCTTAAAAGATGAAAATGCCATGCAAGACCAAAATAACACTGACATTATCACCATATAAGGTGAGAGTGGGAATGATCTGGCCTTGCCCATGGTTGACATTGCAGGTTTACTGACATTGTGGGTTGGCAGTGTTGCCTTGGATTTTCCCTTCCTTCCGCCCGACCTCATCTAAAATAAAAATGACAGTAATATTTCAAAATTTATCTGCTTCATCGAACCCCTAACCATATATCTAAGTTATTCAGCAAATCTAAAAATCTAGGTATAAACCTTATTTATTTTACAAAAGTTATTGAACAAGTTTTAAGCTTGTATTAATCACTCGAGTTGGCCCTGGTGGAAGCACACAAGGGGTCTTACTGAGGGAAGAAATAGGAGCACCTTGGGAAAACTCACATGATCAGGCAGGTGAGCTCTAACCCTTCTCACATCCATACCGTGAATCGAACCACACACGCCTAGATGAAAGGCGAGTGTGTTACCACTGCACAATCCATCAATCCAATTTTGATCTAGAGAGAGATGGAATGAACAAGGGGTCTCATGGACCTGCATCATTCACCTCACTTTCAATATTTTTCACCAATGATTTACCTTTGACATTAAAGATCTTCACGGTGAATAAAAATAATCAATTTAAACCAACTTAATTTTGTCTGAAATAAACACCCCTGATTAAATAGAATAATTTTCAGCAAATTTTTTATTTGGTAACATGACACAAGAAATGTGTGCAACAATGATGATTGGTTGTACCAATATTTATAGAACTGTATTTGATCTTACAACCCATTTCAAGAATGCAAGTAACAATGAAGTTATGTAGGTCTTAGTGTTTCCTTATAACCTTCACCTATGATGGTAATATGTTTCAACTCTTTGAGTCAGAACAACTTATGGAGAGTATATGTGATTGTTTATTATTTTTGCTCATATACCAAACTTAAGATATTTTGATGCACTGGTTAGTTATTTTTAATTGTTGTGACCTTTGATCATTTTCACATTGGTATAATACATTGATGCAAGACAGACAAAAATGAAAGTCGAAGCAATTCGGATTAATGTACATTCAACAGGTTTTTAATATCTGTATGTGGAGATGTCTGGTTTTTTACAATGACGTCTATTGGGTAAAAGATCTAAAGTCCGGTGTGAGTGTAACAAAAAGTGAAAAAAAAAAACACATTCCTGTCCAATGTTCCTGCCAGGAATCGAACCCTGGTCTCTGGTGTGACCAGTGTGAGACCTGTTTAACACTATTTACAAGTCAAACCGACTCGCTCCTATTACATAAGAACAGAAGGAAACTAACACGTCATTCCCTTTATGAGAATGAATATATGATAAACAAAATTATTCAAGTCGGTGACCTGTCTCTCTCAAGTACACACGTGCCCCTTTGTGTCTTCAAATTATATGTGAACTTCACAGGGTGTAATACAGCTACATGTGTATACATGCCACGGACATTATTTGGTAAACAATTGCCATATGAGGGTAGGGTGGTTGGTCCGGGTAGAGCGTCCAGATGGGACTTGATTTTTTACTCAAACACTCAAATCAATCTAGAATTTACTCAGATATCCTTGCTTTATGACTAAAGTGACCATTATATGCATAAAAATGTCATTCTAACTTTCAAAGCGTATAACAATATTGGAAATGTGTAAAATTCATGGATTTTTTTCAGCATCGTACAAATTTTGGGTGTTTTCATTTGATGCACTCACGTTTACAAAAAGTTATTCTTATACGGACAACGAGAACTATACATGTGATGTATACATATATTCGTCACAGGGTCAAAATTTCTAGAGTTCGTCGGTTTCTAAAATGATTATCAGTCTGTAATCTTATTTCATAGATCTAGGTGCTTGTCGGAAGTATATTACGTCGGGTAGGCACGCACCTGTCCATGGATATCTTACCTTGGAGGAAAGGTGATGTTGGTCAAGAGATGCTGGACACTTCCGAAACTGTATAGGTATTACAGTGTTAAGCAGTCAGGGAATGTGATAATGACAAGCGTGAACACGTGGATCACGAATTACTTAAGATTGCCGTAACAACAGACGCCAAACATAGCTTCCCGGTGCGCAGCGCCACCTAACGGCCAGGTAAAAAGTACAATGATAAGGGTCGATTACTTCGTGTCTCTGTAGTACAATATAAACGAATCAATAAATGGATTATATAAAATAAGAAAGAAATAAAACATAAAAAAAAACAAAACTTATTGACCAATTAAAGCCTTGCTGCCGTACACAGAAACTCCAGAAAACGCACAATGAAAGAGTAAGCGTCTTCCTCTTCACTATGGCAACCATAAAACTTCCCCATAATTTTCATCAGCCGACATCTTTTGAAAACCTGTGTGTTACGAGTTTGTCTATTTGACGACTTCTTGAACGAAAATCGTGATAATGGGAACAGGCTCTTGGATATCGAATCGATTGCGACATGTTAATCACCACAGGCTGGGGATGCAGGGTTCTTGCTATCCAGAAACGAAAAACTTACAATTCATCACGATTTAGAAACTATGGTTTAAATCTAAGTTGTGTAAGAGCAGGCATCGGGATTATGTTAGATACGACGGAGAGAGAAAGATACCATCAATCGGTGGACAGGTGGAGACAGTTTCTTCATCAACTGAATTTATATTTGTCTGATTTAGGCTCATGTCCACTTGAGTCCTGTATCATGGGCTCTGACCTTGGATGAGTCTTAAAAAATCTCTGATTACATTTTGACACTTTTGCCTCCCCACCATTAGTTGTTGCAATGCTTTCGGCTTCCAACCATTATTTAGCATATATGTCGATAATTTACCAAGAAGCAGAGTACTCGTCCGGAACACTTGGTTTCATTCTCCATATACTTTTGTGTGAATTTCTATGTAAATTTATCTTTTGTTCATTTTTTTCTCCTAGTTTTATTGAATTTTAAGTTTGATTTATGTCACGTGGTTTGTTTTTATTGTTGTTTTTAATCACTGATTGCATGTTGGTATTTGAACGTGGCATTGAAGTTCAAACAATTGCGTTTTTTTTTTCAATTATAAAATCAGAATGGAAATGAGCTGAGCAACGATTTTTTTTAAATAAATATAAAATGATATGCTTGTGTAAGCAGGCTATCTGAACTGTTCTACAACGTTTAGTATCACCTTTTATTATTTGTGGTCGTCAAGGGTTCGGCATCACACCATCAGTTTCCTCGGCATTGTCTTTCTTGTTATTAACTGTTAGATATGAATGTTAGATAAACTTTTGTATAACAGCAGACTGAATCTTGTGTCAGAAATAAGTTTCTTTATTAAACAAAATTACACGGTAGAGTATTAACACATTTTTATCTTTAAATAATTATTTGTAAACATATACAGTAGGATTTACATAAAGAAAAAAGTCACAGAACGTAATTTTCTCTTCATATAGGAATAGGTACATATTTATTACGTAAAATTACTTTCTCTTATCATTGTCTAAATAAACCTGTGTTTCAATTTAGGGCAAGGAAGGAGGAGAGAAAATACAGCTTTCACTGTCCAGTTATTTAAATCATTGTTCAATACATTCATATTTTGTTACATTGATTCTATAAATGAAATATTTAAAACACTCCCAAGGCCTATAATCGGAATTTATACACTATTTCTAATAATTTCTGAATTATTCAGATCAAGCTAACTTGTCTGCCATCTCTTTACGTATAACATCAAATATCAAAACATATTGATAATTTTGACATATTTCTTTCTGAGGTTGTTTATTGGTTACCCGTGGTTTGGTAGGAAATGTATTCTCATTAGTAGCGACCATTGAAAACAATGATATTTTTCTGATTTCAGTGGTCAGTCCTCTACTATTTCAATATTTTTATATTGGTTTAAAAGACATGCTAAAAACACTTTTAACTGCAATTGCACCTCTCTCTCTCTCTCTCTCTCTCTCTCTCTCTCTCTCTCTTCTCTCTCTCTCTCTCTCTCTCCAGAACCCAAATGCAACTTAAACATAAGGCTATGATACGACATCGATCTGCAGAGTCTCTCTGTTCTTTTATATATTTTCCGCTTCAGAAAAGGTGATGCTTACCAATATTCCAATATTCAATCGCCCTACATTATATCAGAGATTCGTTGTTTCGTTTCGGTTCAATCCTCTTATCTTTCCGCTTCTTTAAGAATTTTGTAACTTGCATGCTACCGGCCGGTGATACCTTTTTACAAGTCGACTCTCGAGTGATTTTACAGAGGCCTGAAAAATCTGGTAATTATTTTGTGAATGAATGTTATAACTATTCATGAAATTTTACTCAGAAAACCAGTCATGAAAAAAGAAAGTGTGTGATATTGATTTTTAGTAAATTGTAGATAGAGTCATGTCCCTTTGTTGATAAACAGATGAAGTCCCTGTCGGAATGTCGGAGACAGGCCACTTTACTCTCACCCTTCCTCACTAAAGTGAAGGATGAAAAAAGCTCAAGATAACTAGTTTCCCATCGATAGGAACAGCTTACTTCCATTTTGTAACCACATAAATGAAAATTCCTTAACATTTTGTAACTGACCACTGTTAATATAAACGCTATCTACTTGTGATTGACAAATTAAATTTGAAAATGGTTTCAGAACACAACTGACACTTCTGGTAGATGATTTTTGTAGAATGTTGAATGACCCACGTGTAGTCCATATAAAAAGCCCGTACTACATATGACAATGTTTATTATCGGTCATTTAAATATAGAATGCGAGTCACATACGTGTGACTGTTCCAAATCTCTATAAATAGATATTTGTCATCTCTTCTGATTTCACAACATCACCTTCCAGAACAAATTTTACTCTCTACTTGTCAAGACCTACACAGTACTGCACCGCTGAAATCACAAAAAATCCACAGCCCCCCACACACTGTATGTAATGTTGTCCAAGACAATTATCTTAAAATGCAAGTCTAAAAAAACAAATCAAAAATCACAAAAATTTCATTACAAATATTACCATGTAAAAATAATGATTGAGTAAAGAAAGCACACAATATGTTGAAGTATAGATCAAAGACGCAGATTAAGTTTAATAATATTTTGGCCACTTTGAAAAAAATATTTGAAGTGGTTTAAAAGAGTCATATTTCAATGATTAGTAGTTCTATTGTCATAATAACACAATTGCTTGAAATGTGTTCACATTAGTAATTTTTGTAAAGATCACTTACACATATTTTTTATCAATTCCCAAACTGGGCACAGAATTTGACCAGATCAAAGGACCATGTCTGAAGGAGAAATTCCTGGGGAGAAAGGAGTCGGATCAGATGGAGAAACTCCGAATGCTGTGGCAGCTCAAAAAGCTGAAATCACTACTGAGAAGTTGAAAGACATGGAAGGTGTAGAAGTAGTGAAGATGCCTGCCCCTGACGAAGATGTTCGGGAGATTGTCATAGTAGATGCCAGCGCTTTGGTAAGTAATATCAAAGTTATGTTATTACAATTCTTAATGTGTTCATATTGAAAATAGTTTTGTGTCATTAAATTGACATATTTCAAGTCTTGCAAATGATGAATTGTACAGTTGAAATATGTAATTCCAATTCAAAATCAATTTTGAAATGTTTAAAACAAATTTTCATTGAAGTTGTAATTATCTAGAACAGAAGTTTCACAAATTGTCTGAACCATTATGTGTTTTAGTGCAAAGAATTTGAAAAACTTATTAATTTGTGACTTCTTTTAAATTTCTGTTTTGCTTGCAGGATGTTGATTTAAATCAAGGAAAAATAGCAAAGATTGAAAATTTGGAAACACTGACACAGGTAGAGGTAAGGAGATCAGTTATTGAAGAATTCATGATGTGCTGAAAGATTTGGATAAAAAATATATGATTCATTCCATTTTAAAATTATGGAGTTATCTCCCTTATGCTGTTGAAGCATGTATATTGATTATAGACGTTGATGTATAGCAAGATTAATGTCATCTTATTATTAAAAGGTTAGGATCAGTTCCTACAGTGTAAACTATTTCAAAATCATTTCTTAACATTGAATTAAAGAAAGTATTTTCCATCTCATAAGCAGTTTAATTTTTAATGTAATTTTCAGACTTTATGCTTGAGACAAAATTTAATAAAAAAGATTGAGGGCCTTTCAACACTTCAACATCTCAAAGAACTTGATTTATATGATAACCAACTGGAAATGATTGAAAACTTGGAGGAGCTACGAAGTTTGGAGTAAGTATTGAATGATCTATCTCTTTGCCACAAAAACATTTTAAATAATTTACTTGATTGAAGATAAAATCTATTGTCAGATTGATAAGGTGATAGATAAATGTCATAAAATGTTTAAGTGTTAGGAAATGTAAGTTTGTTGATGCCTGAACAGAATTTACCCATTTAAACATGTATCTGACATAATTACAATTATGTAATTGTTTATTATTTTACTGGGGAATTCAAAATGTCAGGTGTTTTGAAAGTGGTATGATTCAGCTTTTAATTTCTGAAATATGTAAAAATTAATTTTAAATGTGAAATGAATAAATTGCAATCTTAAGTAACATGAGAATATCTTCAATACCCTGAAGTAATGGGTATACAGATCTGCTGAGGAAGATACATGTAGTTGTGTTGAATTGTGGCTGACATTACGTCAAGCCTTGATTTGGTGTAAGGCACAAACTGAGGTTTTTTAACAATGTATAAAGACATACCAGATATCTGACTTTGGTCCAATGTGTTCTTCATTCCAGATATCTTTTCTTTATAACTGAGTTTGGTTATTAAATCAATATATTTCAATGATAAATTTTGTGACAGACATTTTTTTGGGAGGTCGCTTCTGCGATATTTTGACACACATGCATGTTTCACTTTTTTTATAGTACATCTGCCAATTTGAGTACAGCTACCAATAAATACACACTGCATCACTGACAAAACAAAATAAAACTGTATAAACTATTCTATTTGTTGTTACCTGGTGTCTGTTATTTTAACTCAGTTTGGTGTGTTTATTGCAACAGGTATAAGTTATTTGAACTGAGATCATTGAAAGTGTATATCATAACATATTGTTTATCAAGCATCAAGCCCATGTTCGTTAGTAAACCCATGCCTGGTAATTAGCCCATGCTGAGTAATTAGCCCATGTTCCGCAAGAAGCCCATGTCTGGTAATAAGTCAATACCTGGTTATAAGCCCATGTTCAGTATTGCCATGTAGTAATTAAAGGATTAATTCGATAATATATCCATTTTTTTTTTCAGGCAGCTTGACTTGTCCTTTAACCGTCTGAAGACCATAGAAGGTTTAGAAAATCTGCTGGCCCTTCAAAAACTCTACTTTGTACACAACAAGATAGATAAAATCCAAAACATCGAACATTTGGTACAGCTTCGGATGTTGGAGCTTGGTGCCAACAGGATACGGGTACTGTGATAATCATACTGTTTCTGTTCATATAAGACATGTGTCTTCTGTTTTCAATCATTACTGAATTATTAATCTTATGTTTAGCTCATCATCATCAAGCAGTGGACTGTGCAAATCACCATAATGTCCATAGTCTGTCTGTCGACTTTCTGTCATTAGACAGATTTTGTAACGACAAATTTTTGAAAAGTACAGGATGGATCTCTCTAAAAGAAATGAAAAGAAGGGAGAAGACTGAACTGATTAAAAACAGATCAATGATTGGGGGTCAAGATCTGCTGTTCTGATGAATTGATATAAAACAGGATGATTTATCGTTATTTTCTCAAATAAAGTAGGTGCTTGATAAACTGATGATTTATTCAAATTTTATTTTGGAACAGGTGATTGAGAATCTAGCACCACTGACACGAATAACCAGTTTATATTTAGGAAAAAATAAACTAACAAAAATTGAGGGCTTGGACACACTGGTCAATCTCACTTGTCTCAGCCTCCAGGTAAGTCTGAACATATTTTGTTTATATCAGTTACATAAACAGACCAGAGGAAGTAACGGTAAATTAGTAAATCAACATATAGCATTTGTACTGTAGTACATGTATCTCTTAAAACACTTCTATGACTTTGTCATCTAATTCAGTCACTCAGAACTTTGAAATTCACCAATTTTATTTATATAATTCACTTGATTTTCATAAATTTCAACATTTTATGCACAGTTTAACAAACTTTAATGTTAATAGTGTTGAATTATATACATGTACATTTTGTAATGATATGTAGTCTTCATTTCAAATGGAGTTTTGGTTCTGGGTCAATATGGTCCACCTCACTATTGTCCTGTCCCCGAATAGGTCTTAATAGTAATGTTTTACTCTGTCACTTATTCATATGCAGAGAGGTGTGCACTAGAGAAATATGTTAAAGTTTCAAGAGAAAGTTCAAAAAATTAATTTCATCAGATATAAACATTGTCTATCCTTTCATGTCCAGATATCTATGTGAATATTTTTGTACTGATTTACCTGGTGTAAAAAAGTACCATCTCCACTTTGTGAAACTTTCTTCTATAAAATTTCTAAATGTCATGTAATTAATTGAAATACTGTAATTCACTTGGTATGTATACATTGTAATATGTAGACCTGACCGTGCAGTAAATTGCTGTTAAGTGACATAAAATCTCAGAATACACCTTAACAAAATGCCTTTAAATTCACATATTTGAACTTTTTAAGTCTATGGTCATCTTAATTAAACAGTATCTAAAAACTCAGAAATACACCCTAAACAAAATGCTTTCACATATTTAAACTTTTTTAGTCTATCAATGTCATCTTAATCTAATCACAGTCTGCTACATAGAAGAAAGAAAAAATGGTAAATACAATTATACCTGATACTGTTAAAAGTGCTCGGTACTTCATGTAGTACTGGGAAACAGAATTTTCCCAAATCTGTTGGTCATATCATCAAATGTTTTTAAAATTAATGTCTAATGTGAATTTCTTTTTTTACAGTCCAACAGATTTGTGAAGATGGAGGGACTTGATGCCTTAGTGAACTTAGAGGAACTTTATCTTAGCGACAATGGAATTGAAATGATTGAGGGCCTTGACCATAATGTGAGTAGATTTCATAAAAGGGTAGAGTACAGCAGTGATTTCTGCGTACCCAAAATAGCAGTGATACCTTTGCTACTGAAGACAGCAGTGATTACTGGGTTTTCAAATCTGTAGTGATTACTTGATACCCAAAACAGTAGTAATTTATGGGTATGCAAAACAACAGTTATTTCTGGGTACACAAAACAGTAGTGAATTCTGGGTACACAAAACAACAGTAATTTATGGGTACACAAAACAGAAGTGATTACCGGGTACACAAAACAGCAGTGATTTCCGGGTACACAAAACAGCAGTTATTTATGGATACACAAAATAGTAGTAATTTATGGGTACACAAAACAGCAGTGATTTCTGGGTATCTAAAACAGCATTTAAAACACAAAGATATGCTTTCACATATAATATTACTTATATTGCTTTTGTATATTAATTTGTATGATAATATTTCATTTTCAGTTGAGGTTAAATACATTGGACTTGGCCTCAAACAGAATTCAAAGGATAGAAAATGTTTCACACCTGACAGAGCTGCAGGAATTCTGGGTAAATTTATATCATAAACTTTTGATATATCCACATTTAATGAGATAGAATTAATTGTAAATTTTCTGAGATTATGAATGATTGATTAAGTAGGTAACATATGGTGTCAACATATTTGTATAGAAGTTGGGTATGGTGAAATTAACATGTGGTGTGTATGATATTACTCCATATGACATGTATCGTATATTAATTAATGTGACGATGAATGTAACACAAAGATGAATGTAACATTAATGCGATGACGACTGTAAAATTAATGTGGCGATGAATCTAACCTTAATGCAAGGTTGAATGACAAATTGTTTTCATAAATAATATATTTCATTGTTTACAGTTCAATGACAATAAGATGGATGACTGGAAAAGTCTAGAGGAACTGGCACCAATTAAAATCCTTGAGACAGTCTACCTCGAGCGTAATCCTTTGTGGATAGATCCAGATAATGCTGGACATCCTGACCCAAACTATCGGCGTAAAGTGAAGCTGGCGTTGCCTCAACTCCGACAGATAGATGCCACCTTGTGCAAATGATGCTGATGATGTGTGGTCTTAACAGACCAGAAACACCAGGAATATTCAGCTTAGATTAGAGACTCAGTACTCGGTTGTTACAATAGAGTACATTTCTGAGTATATAAACAAAGCAGATTGACAAATGTCTGAAAGGTCTGACTGCAAAGTAGTATTGGTAACAGATGATACTCGCATGTAGGATTAGGAATATTTAGCTCTATCTAGATGGAGGTAAGACATTCCGGTAGCTTTTTCTATGATAATGTGATAAGTCAGAAGACTTCCCAGCCATGAAATGGAAGGTATACTTATTGTGTGATCTGTGCTGTTTTTTCTGTCCGTCCACAATTTCTAGGCAGACATGAAGTAAGAAATATCTATGTAATTTTTACAGCAGCATGACCTTGCTACATTTAATCTTTCAAATGTTGTCATTTTCTGCACATAAATATGGGTCTTTGTTACATTTTCTTTGTTCAAGAATATCCAGGTCACCATTAGAGATTGCTGGTGAGATCAGTTGTTGTCCCAGTTTTACTTTCCTTTTTGCATGATAATTATAAATTTAAATACTTGGTACCCATCTGTATAAACACTTTGCCAGTGATAATACTTGGTATACATCTTTAGGGGAAAAGCTAGCATAATTACAGTGCTTAATTATTAGTTTGTTTTTCACAATAAGACCTCTTTTTTCCCTCCATCACATCTATATGTTTCAATTTACACGGGTCATTTCTTTATCTGCCAGCCAAACATAAATGAATACCATCAAATGCTTTTAAAATCCACAAAATTCTGTCATGTTTGACACAACAAAGTCATACATTATAGAATTGCCATGAGTTTTTATTTTATTTTTTTTGTTTAAGTTTTTTATATTTGGTTACAAGACGCTATAATATCACCATTATATCAATGAAAGTATGCATATCTAATATACTGCATTCCCTTACCTGAGTAATCGACACCAGCAATTACTACCTAGTTTATGTAATGTAATTTAAAGTCAACTGGTTTTGTTTTTAATTGATATTATGAATGTAGAGTTGACAGTTTCTGTAATATAAACTTAAGTGGTTACTATGAGTTAACTGGTAACCATGACATTGAGTTAACTGGTAACTATGATATCGAGTTAACTGATAACCATGACATTGAGTTACCTGGTAACTATGATATTGAGTTAAAACGTAACTGATGTTGAGTTAGATGGTAAATATGATATTGAGTGAACTGGTAACTATGATAATGAGTTATCAATTAAGTATGGTATCGAGGTAACTGGTAACTGTAACAATGAATTAACTGTTGAGCATGATGTTGAGTTGAATGCTTGCTGTAATGCATTTAACAGGTGGAAGCTAGCTTAAAAGCCATCACATAACGTTTGGCTTCATTTCAGGTATTTAACTTCTTTCTTTTATAATGTTTAAAATGTAAGATATTTTTTGTTATTTACCAGACTAATATTGCAATGTTCCAGGTATTCATTGATCTCATATAGCTAAGTAGTATTTAGTAATAAAAAAATTATGTATATAATATATAATAAATGAGTAAAGTTGTGTATAAGATAACTATGTGGTTGTAATGTGATTTATTGTAAAAAAAAACATGAAGGAAGAACCTGACTTTGAGTCCATTTAGGTAATGCATCAATTCACTTTAAAGCAAACACTAAGTTTATTCATTCTACCAATGTTCATGATTTTAATAGAATGTTTATAAAATAGGCCCAGCAATCTTGTAGGAAATTCATCAATATTCTGTTTATTATTAAAGTTGTGTCCTTTTGAGTTGCTGTAAGCCAGCATCCTTTTGATTCACTGTAACCCAGCCTCCTTTTGATTCACTGTAACCCAGCCTCCCTTTGATTCACTGTAACCCAGCCTCCCTTTGATTCACTGTAATGCAACCTCCATTTGATTCACTGTAACCCAGCCTCCATTTGATTCACAGTAACACAGCCTCCTTTTGATTCACTGTAACCCAGCCTCCCTTTGATTCACTGTAACCCAGCCTCATTTTGATTCACTGTAATGCAACCTCCATTTGATTCACTGTAACCCAGCCTCCATTTGATTAACTGTAACCCAGCCTCCATTTGATTCACGCTAACCCAGCCTCCATTTGATTCACTGTAACCCAGCCTCCATTTGATTCATGCTAACCTAGCCTCCATTTGATTCACGCTAACCCTCAGGAAAAACTCTCCTATAAATATAGTGCTATGTATTGATTCTATGAGATGTTTTTACCAGCTTGAGAGTTGGTATACATGTATATACTTGCTTCATTATAAATTGGCTACTTGTTCATGTTCAAATTTTAGTGTACATTTTTGTATTACATTACAATGTGTATTTTAATCTTCCCTGTACCTGTAAATTGGCTGTATTAAACCAATGTGAATATTGTGTATATAATCACATCATCCTTTTAAACAATAGCAAGACTACATTTCATTGTACCATATAATTGTGAATGAAGATTAATCTGTGTTTATTTGTATTTTTTTTTAAACCAATAAATACCTTCAACATTTCTCCACAGAAAAGAGCAGTCAGGGTCATTCCAATTTTGTGGTATATATATTTCTCATACATCTTGTATGGTTTTAGTGTTAAGAATTGGTAGTATTTTTGGTGTGACAGTAGATGTCTGCCTAGATGTGTTCCGGGATAACCTACGATAGTTAGGCTGATGAAGTTGAAGGATAGAAATAACAATCTTGTTTTTACTTTCTGACGAGTCTTGACAGTTATTAAGACGTAGATGTCCATCACAAGTTTGATGTCTAAATGTTACATTTAGAATGTTGATTTTGTTGACGTGATAGATTTAACATCATGTTTGTTTTATCAACATTTGAATTCTCATACCCTGTGATCTGTCATCTTTGTCAACACATAAAATCACCAAATATAGGTGAAATGTTATTAAATTATTTGAAATCTGTGTGATTAGATGAAATTTCTGTTTCTAGCCCATCTTTAGTAAATCTTGTAATGAAAACATACAAAAGAGACATATATCACACAAAGGTTTGACTGAATCTGGAGATGTATGGTTGGATCCCTACCCAGGGTGGTTTGTGTGTCTCGGGTGAAGATCTGGGGTGTGTGGTTGGATCCCTGCCCAGGGTGGTTTGTGTGTCTCGGGTGAAGATCTGGGGTGTGTGGTTGGATCCCTACCCAGGGTGGTTTGTGTGTCTCGGGTGAAGATCTGAGGTGTGTGTTGGCTCTTACTCAGGATGGGTGGAGTTTCTGCAAAAGCTGAGAACATAGAACTGCCTGCACTGTCGAGATGATTTTACCTCAAGCTTAAAAACTTTACCTAATTACTCTGGAAAGGTTACATCCAGTCTCCCACATTATGTTCAACCAAGTAGAAACTAGCTGCTACAAGAAGGTGCTGCCTAAAACTGATTCTGGCTGTTCACGCTGTCGTAAATACAATAGAAGAGATGTTGAAACTGCTTGTTGAGTTTATCCCTGACTAGATTTGGTATGTTTACATAGGGGACTAATTAATAGTAAGTCAGACATGCTAATAAGCTAAAAGGGAATGCCATATGATGTTTACTATAACTTGATCAATAGTAGACTCCTTATTATACATCCAGCATAACTGACAATAAACTGAAAATGATGGACGGTCATGTTATACCATTGTGTTCAAGGGATTGTCAGCCTTGTTTAAGATGATTAAATAGTCCCATCATCTTGCCCATTTAGTATTACAAAGCTATTCTTGTGCCCAAACCCAGATGCTTGTATATTACTTTCCTCCTCCTCATGTATTAACATTGTCATATTTTTAATATCATGAGACATTGATGTTCAGAATGAATAAATGATTCATTTTCATTATCTGTATTGTTATCGATACAACATTCTGCGCTACACACCCAAAAAATGAACGTGTATTGAAAAAAAAATAAGAGGCTGATAGAGCCTGCATCACTTACCTGGTATTGAAAACTAGCTTTATATATTAACACTTCATATCATTAACATTCATAGTCTGTCCATCTGCCTGCCCTTTTGTGTCCTGAGCATAACTTTGCCAACAGTTAGCATTGATCATACTAAGGTGATGTGCAGTGTACCAAATCAAAGACCCTCCACCCTTAAACTACAGAGTTATTGCCCTTTGTTAACATTTTGTGTCTAGAGCACAACTTTAAATTGTTTGCATTTAAACCAAGATAATGAAACTTTGATCATACTACACCAATGTGCAGTGTGCAAAAATTCAAGGACCTTTCAAGGACCTTTGACCCCTCAATTACAGAGTTATTGCCCTTTAGTGTAAATTTTGTGTCTGGAGTGTTACTTTGTCTGCATTTAAACTAGGAAATTGAAACGTGATGTACACATCTGTCTTACAAAAGCAAGACACAGTGGAGCAAAATCTGTGTCCATGACCCCACAGTACATAGTTATTGTCCTTTGTTAAACTTTGATGTCATGAGCATAGTTTTGCTTGCATTAAAACTAGGATCATGAGACTTGGTGTATACATTGGTCATATTAACAGAATGTGCAGTATACTCAATTCAAGGTCTGCAACTCCTTAATTACAGAATTATGGCCTTTTATAAAATTTGTGTCCAATTAAGACGTTTTCCAGGAGACATCAATTTCATTGATGCTCTTGTTTCTTTTAAAGGTCATTTATTTTTTGCAAACATTTATCAAAGTCATTCATCAGTACATAATAGGACTTCTTCAGATAGATGACAAAATGTTATACCAGACCGTTTGGTCTAAATTAAAGGAATTTCTCGAGCAGAACAATGTCAATGTCACCAACTCGTCAGCCTCCAGAGAAAGAACAGATCAACAACAGACATGCATTTCTTATTTTGAAGATTTTATTGTTTTGACCACAATGATACACAGCCTTACAGTGTATAACTGAGTGATCTAGAAATACTGTCCTCCCTGATCCCTGAAATTCTCCTCCTAAATTACACTGTGAAGTTGATATTACAATTAGAGTATACTTTCTTAACAAACCAGACAAGTAGGATTCCATGGGGACTAAACTTCTGGGAAAAATTATCTTTAACAAACATTCCATATATTCATGATTAGAATCTATTTTAAGTTAGTGTAGACCTCTATGTGTTGATAAAAGTTCTTTTACAGACTCGTAAAACTTTTTTATGTACTGATATCAGTGATAAACCTCAGTTCCTTATTTGGAGATGCTATTAAAGCCAGATTTATTGTGTCTATTTAATGTATGTACTTCGTATTGTGAAAAATTACAGCAGTTCTTTGACAACTTTGAAACACTTAAACATGATGGAAAATTATGTCTCATGTTGATAATGCTGATAAATTTTGTCTGCCCACATGACGAAATGCAACTCACTTCATACAATATTTACTGTAAATATAATTAATTACATGCAATGAAATTTCAGTGCATTATCACTTATTGGCAATGATAAATCAACGCATCCACAATAAATACTAAAATAAAGCAGTGCCTAAAATCTGCAATTACCACGATCATGTTGTAGTAAATATTTTCAGTGTAAAAAGCGTTACACAAGGACACCTAAAATCTGTATGTTTACATTATGCTTTAGTAGTCAGAACATCGATCTTGGTACATAAGTATGATATATCGATTGCTTTGCATCATTCCTAGCTATTAATTATAGATTTTGTGTTAACCGAGACACAGTACGATACGAACTGTTAGTCTGATCATCACAAGGTAGATCACATGAAAAGAAACCTATTGTAAGTTTTTCTTTGGGAAATAATTCTTGATTAATTTAGTATAAGGACTGTTAAATAAACAGGTTCTGAAGAACACGTTGCATTAAAGCACAGAAACAACTAAGTAAAGTCTGGCTTTACCTAATGCTATTTAATCTTTTTGAAGCATACAACACTTCACTGGAACACACTCCCTTTCAATACTGGTATATTGTGGTAGTTTTGCATATTTGTATGGACAAATAAACTAGATAAAGACTATATTGACACAGAGATTCATCAGCCACATAGTAAGCATAAGTTCTGCCTCGTAAATCAAACTCAATAAACATACATCTGGATTCTCTCATCTGAAACAATACAATATCAACTAGCAGCATTCAAATACAGTCTTTCTCTCAATATCAAAAGGTGTTTCTCTCCATACCATGTTTCCATCATAGTGTTTCCCACCTTACATTGTATCTTAGTTTACCCTTCATACCTTAGTTTCTCTCATATCCATAACATTTTCCCTCCATTTCATAAAGTGTTTCCCTCCATACTATATATAGCATTTCCCTCCATACCATGTTTTCCTCCACATCAGTTTCCCACCTTACTCTAGTTTCCATTCTTACCATAGTGTTTCCCTCTGTATCATAGCCCTGCCCTCCATACCAGTGTTTCCCTTCTTACTGTAGTGTTTCCCTCTGTATCATAGCCCTGCCCTCCATACCAGTGTTTCCCTCTGTATCATAGCCCTGCTCTCCATACCAGTGTTTCCCTCTGTATCATAGCCTTGCCCTCCATACCAGTGTTTCCCTCTGTATCATAGCCCTGCCCTCCATACCAGTGTTTCCCTCTGTATCATAGCTTTGCCCTCCATACCAGTGTTTCCCTCTGTATCATAGCCTTGCCCTCCATACCAGTGTTTCCCTCTGTATCATAGCCTTGCCCTCCATACCAGTGTTTCCCTTCTTATCATAGTGTTTCCCTCTGTATCATAGCCTTGCCCTCCATACCAGTGTTTCCCTCTGTATCATAGCCTTGCCCTCCATACCAGTGTTTCCCTCTGTATCATAGCCTTGCCCTCCATACCAGTGTTTCCCTCTGTATCATAGCCCTGCCCTCCATACCAGTGTTTCCCTCTGTATCATAGCCTTGCCCTCCATACCAGTGTTTCCCACTGTATCATAGCCTTGCCCTCCATACCAGTGTTTCCCTCTGTATCATAGCATTTCCCTCCACACCTTAGGGTTTTCCTCAATACCACAGCAATTTCCCCCATGTTGAAGTTTCCCACTGTACAAATGTGTTTCCCTCCATAACATACAGTGTTCCCCTCTGTGTCATGAAGTGTTCCCTCCATATCATACAGTGTTCCCCTCTGTGTCATACAGTGTTTCCCTCCATAACATACAGTTTTCCCTCTGTGTCATACAGTGTTCCCCTCCATATCATAGTGTTCCCCTCTGTGTCATACAGTGTTCCCCTCCGTATCATAAAAATTTTCCTTTGTATCATAGTTTTTCCCTCTGAACTATAAAGCATTTTAACAGTTCAAGTGAATAATACCTTACTTTTGCCTCCTGTTTCTACTTGGGTTGTAACATATAATTGCTGAATGTATTTAGAAGGAATAGACTGCAAGACAAGTGTATGGTGATGGGCCACTATACTTAATATATGATTTACAGAAAGGGCCACAATATTCAATATCTCACTTATCGAAAGGGCATGTTACTCTTTTACAGAAAGAGCAAGATTTCTTAACATCTCATTTACAGATGTAACCATAAGAAAAGAGGAAGTATAATGCATGCTTTTTATGCAAATGAAATTGTTGTAATATTATAAATCTTCAAGGTTTTTTACATCAAAATTGGCGACATGACCCACAAAGTGTATTCCACGCAGATCTATAAACACAGATGACTAGAGTTAGAACCTCCAACTTATCTTGACCTTGTTGTTAGTGTACCATGATATGGTGTATAATATACAAACTGCATGTAGACCAGGTTTCTTGGTTAACAAGGCATCGGAAACAATACAAATCCCTTGCTCTCATTCATAATCAAGTTATGTTGCATCTAAGAATTTCTATATATAGTAACGGAGACCTTAAAGTTGACCCTAGCATGATGAAACATGAACTCCTTCATGGTATTATCATACTTGACCAATATGTAATGTTTAATTAAAACATTCCGAGCTAGAAAAATGAGACTTTAAATATAAATTTCGAATCAATGATAAATTAGAGTATAATGATACAAATTGTGATATTTTCCAAAAGCTGGAAAAACCTCATGTCAAGGTCATTTGAATATAACTGAGATGTCCCCATGAAACTATCAAAGCCCTGTAATATCAGCAAATTTAAAATTACGTAGTTATTTCATGGTAGTAAGTTAACTGGATATTGAACCGAGGATGTATTATACAGATTTACATTTCAAATGATTCTTTCAAAGTACATACAAATCGCACAAATATTTACACTTTATACAAAATCAGCATTTTCCATTTACATCAGTAGCATTGCACTTCATTACCTTTGCATACTTTACATACAATGACAGACAGTGATGACCTGCTAGAGAAGTCAACTTCTGATAAACCTGCACCAAGTTGTATCCATTGATTAACTGTTTCCATCACCTGCTGAGACAAGCAACACCACAGGTTTCTGTCACTTTTCTGAGACATATGACACCATAAATTTCTGTCACATTTCTCAGACAAGCAACACCACAGGTTTCTGTCACTTTTCTGAGACATACGACACCATAAATTTCTGTCACATTTCTCAGACAAGCATCATCAAAAGTTTCTGTCACTTTTCTGAGACATACGACACCATAAATTTCTGTCACATTTCTCAGACAAGCATCATCACAAGTTTCTGTCACTTTTCTGAGACATACGACACCATAAATTTCTGTCACATTTCTCAGACAAGCAACACCACAGGTTTCTGTCACTTTTCTGAGACATACGACACCATAAATTTCTGTCACATTTCTCAGACAAGCATCATCAAAAGTTTCTGTCACTTTTCTGAGACATACGACACCATAAATTTCTGTCACATTTCTCAGACAAGCATCATCACAAGTTTCTGTCACTTTTCTCAGACAAGCAACATCACAAGTTTCTGTCACATTTCTCAGACAAGCAACACCACAAGTTTCTGTCACTTTTCTCAGACAAGCATCATCAAAAGTTTCTGTCACATTTCTCAGACAAGCAACATCACAAGTTTCTGTCACATTTCTCAGACAAGCAACATCACAAGTTTCTGTCACATTTCTCAGACAAGCAACACCACAAGTTTCTGTCACATATCTCAGACAAGCAACACCACAAGTTTCTGTCACATATCTCAGACAAGCAACATCACAAGTTTCTGTCACATTTCTCAGACAAGCATCATCACAAGTTTCTGTCACTTTTCTCAGACAAGCAACATCACAGGTTTCTGTCACTTTTCTTAGACAAGCAACATCAAAGGTATTTAGATAAAAACATGAGCTATTGGCATTGCTGAGTGTCAGAGGGAAAAAATCTTTCTCTCTAAAGCAGTCAATGAAATGTAAATAAAATAAGACATTTTTTTATCACTGACTAGAAGATGGTCCTTGGAGCCTGCCTGTGTGAAATGATTAAACTGAAGACACAATTAATGTGATAACAATGTCACACACATGGATTCAGAAAATTCGTCAACATGTGTTAGCTGTGATATTTGATAATAAAATGACATTGAAATGCTATGAATCATACTACATTCCTTACTGAAATCACTGACTTTTTGAGACAGTATCTGTCGTAAGGACTTAGCATTTTAGTAGTTTTTGTCACACGGTGATGACCTTTATTGACAGGTAAATGTAACATAAGGATGACCTTTAAAGACAGGTAATTGTAATACTGAGATGACTTTTAGAGAGGTATTGGTGTTATTGACCTGACTTTTGAATACAGGTGAATCATAAACACATCCTGGTGTATCTATCATCAATACAAGTAATCAATAATCAATATAGTGACCAATAGGGGGGAGGGCAGTCCGAATGGTCAGATTGTTCAGTTAGACCAGCAGTGTTGTAAACATTTGGACTAATTAGAACATTCACAAAAACTATGGCCACCTATTTTCTTTTGCTTTTGCACCATAAAGTTACAATCTTTTCTCCAGCACTCAAACTGAACGGATCACAAATGCCTTTAATGACATGACAATAGCATAACACCCATTCAACAATCAGAAACAAACATGACATCTTCGCAAAAAAATCTTTAACAGACCTGACATTCTTGATAGACATTGCATTCTTAGGGAAATATCTTCACAGACATGGCATTCTTACAAAAGTGTCTTCACATACATAACATTTTGACATAAATATCTTTACAGAATATCTCTACTCATATAACATTCTTACGAAAATATCTTTACAGACCTGACATTTTTTACAGAAATATTTTCACAGACAGGACATTCTTACAGAAATATTTTCACAGACCAGAAATTCTTTGTAATATGTTACCAGACAAGACATTCTTACAGAAATTTCTTACCAGATATGACATTCTTTTGGAAATTCTATACAGTATAACCTCAATAAACTAACATCTTGTCTGCCTATCCAGACATGCAGCTTTTACTGTAAAATTTATAAGTTACTTGTCCATTACACCTATGGAAACTTTTAGATACAATAAAAATTGTATTAAATGAAAAAAAAAACTAAGCATCAATACAAAACATCATGACAGGCAGTAAATCAATAAAACACATTTAAATGTACACTTTGGAGTTGTATACACAGTATAAACAACTGATCCATGAATTCAGTCAGCCATGAAGTCAATAACCATATGCAAGTAAATTCAGTGACACTGTAGCGGTGATATCCGGGGCACACAAAAGGATATTTACATAACTGTTCCAAAAACCATCATGGCTAACTTGGTATAAACATTTTGCATTAAATTTGATGTATTTAATAGTAGGAAAATCTATTTGAATAAAACAGGTAGCAGTTAGTGAATTTGGCAGTAAAGTGGATGCATTTAATTGTTGTGAAAAATCATGGTCATACTGTATATTTAACCTGAACACAAACAGTCTGTTTAAAAATCACATATTCATCAGGGGACCTATAACAAGCATTCAGGACCAAAGAAACCACAACACATCTATAATTTCTGATGCACATTAACACGATCAATTTAACATATATCTAAACATTCACATGACCTTATGTTAAAATTATCTACCATGTCAGCAAAATTATTTTAAAAATTCCAATCAATATTTGTCCACTCCTTTCCACACTCACTGTTACCTAAACAAACCAACACAAAGACACACAGTAAGCAGTAATTACAGGTAACAAACTTATATAAATTAACAAATCACAGTTCATGCAACTGACCAATAGCAAGTCAGAAACCATTTATCCAATCAGTGATGAGGTGAAATCTCTCTTCCAATCATTGACTCCGAGTTAAACAACCAATCACAATTTGTGTTCAGACATATGTGTCCTCATACTGATTAAGAGCCGATATTATTGCTAAAACAACCAGCCTCATTCCCATTCTGTTGTGCCTGGAGGTTTCGATGTCATATCATACATAACACGCGAGATTCCGGGGACTGTTAACACGCTCTCCACAATTTTATCTACCACCTGAAAAAGAGAAAACAGAACCATAACAAAGGGCATTTCTGAACAGTTGCTTGTATTGTATTCAAGGAGCAAAGATTTTAAGTCTCAACTACAAGTACTTTTCTCTGAGAAGTCAAATTTCTCCCAGAACTAAAACCTGAGTGTGGCACACAGAGACAAAGTGATGCTTAAAGCCCTGTCCAGACAGAAAATCATTTGTCATGGCTATCTCGACATTAATGTGCCTCTCCATACCCTTTATGTAGCCTATTGTGGTGATATCAGACCAGCAAATTGGAAACCCTTTATGTAGCCCTATTGTGGTGTTATAAGACCAGCTAATTGGAAACCCTTGATGTAGCCCTATTGTGGTGTTATAAGACCAGCTAATTGGAAACCCTTTAAGTAGCCCTATTGTGGTGTTATAAGACCAGCTAATTGGAAACCCTTGATGTAGCCCTATTGTGGTGTTATAAGACCAGCTAATTGGAAACCCTTGATGTAGCCCTATTGTGATGTTATAAGACCAGCTAACTGGATCAGGCCACTAATACATTCCATAGCTATACTGTCCCTGTTCCATTTCAACTGATAATAATTGTTTTCAATAGTATATATAAAAAAAAAAAATCAATGCACCATATTTTCTGGGTTATAAATCACACCAGTATATAGACTGCAGAGCCATTTTTTTTATCGATTTTAAGAAATTTGATTCACATATTAGCTGCACTGGAATATAAGCTGCATCTTTTCATACTCCATTGAAACCGTTATGTTGACCAAAGTTTGTTGATATAACAGACTAGAGAAGTATTTATTAAGATGGTCAGTGAAACTTATCATGAAGTTTGCAAATGAAATATACACAAATATTTGACTTTCTTGATGTATTTATACTGATCATGCAAAATACACAAAATAGCAAATATTGAACTCGTTCGGCTCGGGGACTTCAAGGGTTCGTACATATCATAAGCCTTGACGTTATGTACAGTTTACTAAACAATCTCTCCACCAGTGTTTGTAGTGTTAAATTTTAACAGAGGCCCATACATGCTGACTAAATTCTTCAAATCTCATAGTATTACCTTTTGTAACTTACACACAGCTGTTCGAATTGAAAACAAGCATGGCAGTCTTACTAGAATTTTACCTAGCTATCACCCAATGGTCTATTGATCCCAGGATGCAATAGACACTTGTAAACTACTGCCATGCCTTCTTGTAATTGCTGTTAAGTATTGGTATGCTACAATTTTTCTTTATTCAATTGTGCATATTATGTTTTCTTCCACATATAAGCGGCACTGATATATATAAACTGCACGCCTGACCCACAAGAAAACAATTTGTGGCTTATAATCTGGAAAATGCAGCATATGTATTTCTTCGATTCCAACTAATTTCCTCTGTTAGACTTAATTAGTAAATGAAGGGATAATAGGTCCCTAGGGCAAGTTAAACTGGGGCTAGTAGGGAACACAGAGAAATTACAATTTGTATTTAGGGGTTTAATGAGATGTTGTTTGAGCAATTGAACATAATGTTTCAATTGCACGTGCCTATACAAAAAGGTGACAGTTTCCAAGAAAATTGGTAGATTTACCACTTCTAAGATTGCCAACCTTCGAACCTATGGCCTTGAAATTTGGTCCTAAATATCTATTACAACTTCTAAGTTTAGAGTCTATCTATTACAAATAACTTATGACTTTAGAGTCTATCTATTACAAGTAACTTATGACTTTAGAATCTATCTATTACAAGTAACTTATGACTTTAGAGTCTATCTATCACAAATAACTTATGACTTTAGAGTCTATCTATCACAAATAACTTATGACTTTAGAGTCTATCTATCACAAATAACTTATGACTTTAGAGTCTATCTATCACAAATAACTTCTGACTTGAAAGTCTAACTATTAAAACTTTTACATGTGATGATTTTGACTAGATAACAAATAACTTATGACTTATAGAGTCTATCTATCACAAATAACTTATGACTTTAGGGTCTATCTATCACAAATTACTTATGACTTTAGAGTATATTAACTTATGACTTTAGAGTCCTATCACAAATAACTTATGACTTTAGACTATCACAAATAACTTATGACTTGCTACTCCGGTCATGAAGTCGTTGGTAATAAAAGTCCTTATGACAACAGATCTTTGACACGATGGCTGATGTAGTACTGGGTCACGATCAAAATGTAGTGGAGTTATAACCACGGGCATCTGGCTAAGTTTGCTGAAGGAATCTGTTTCCTGTAGGACCTTGGATGCCATATGGTCAGCCTGGCGTAGCGTACTGAGTACACCAGCCGTCAAGAATGTAGGCGTCACATCTTCTATAGCAAACTTCACAGCACCACCAAATACATATACTACCCTTAAATGTAAAACAAACTAATTACATACCCTAAACATAGAACACACCAAATACATACCCTTCTCAACATATAACTAAATACATACCCTACCCTAAAATAAATCAAGAGGTCTACGGGTATTAATGGTCATCTGACTACAAAAACTTTCAGCAAAGAGAAGGGTTGTTTTTTCTATTCTGAATGAAATCTTACTAAGAAACTATTTTCCATGATGCAGATGGTCGTTTTGGTAAGTAGTAAGTAACTGTAACAAGTGTTACCTATTTCTTCACAATAAAGTTGGAGCTCAATCCAACTGGTGAAACTTTGTTTGAAATAGGTGTTGCACAGGAAAACCATGATTTCACAATCATGTTACAAAATGGCCTCCTGGCTGCCATGCCAAAGTTTTGACAAGGTAGAAAAATAACAAAACTTTGTTAGCCACCTTTCCTTAACATCCCCCCTCCACACCATTTTTAGCTCAATGGCACTAGTAGAACTGAAGAAGAAGTTTAAAATATTTTTTTTTTCAAGATGGAAGCCATCTTGGATTTCAGACATACCTGAAAAATCACAACACTTGGTCAGGACCATATTAAGATCATTCATGCATGTTTGAGCTCCATCCAACTGATGGAACTTGAGAAGAAGTTTAAAATGTTTATGCACTGCAGTAGGTGGACGAAAATGGACAAAACACAATGGCTATAGGTCATCATGACCTACATATACTACCCTCAGCATAGAACAAACTAAATACATACACTACCCTTAACATAGAAACAACCCTTAAAGAAATCTGGAGGTATAATAAATATGTTATCACAAAAATATGTTTGATATATATAAATAGTACCTGACAATTTGTCGGTGTTACATTCCTTTTCCAAACATTTAAATAAGAGAACATTTACCTGTTAATATTATGACAAATCCTGGGGATGATCTTTGCTAGCATCGTCAGGTTACTCCAGTTAGGTTTACTGTTTCCGGACAGAGCTGCCACATAACTGTAACTTCTACAGTCTCCCTGTAATAAATCACAATGTTAGACTCAGTAAACGTTACACCGTAACAATTTTGATAAAAAGCAGTGTGGCATTACAACCCTTACCTGGACTTCCACAGATTTCATAGGAAACAATGTGGCATTACAATCCTTACCTGGACTTCCACAGTTTTTACAGGAAATAGTGTGGCATTATGACCCTTACCTGCACATCCACATAGTTTTTATATATGGCAATGCGACCCTAACCTGGACTCCTACAGTTTTGATAGGCAGTAGTGTGGCATGACCCTTACCTAGACTCCTACAGTTTTGATAGGCAGTAGTGTGGCAATATGACCCTTACCTGGACTCCTACAGTTTTGATAGGCAGTAGTGTGGCAATATGACCCTTACCTGGACTCCTATAGTTTTGATAGGCAGTAGTGTGGCATGACCCTTACCTGGACTCCTACAGTTTTGATAGGCAATAGTGTGGCACACAGGTTATCAGATTTAGAAATAGCCAGCAGATTCTCCTGATCTTCTTCAGACATTCCACTTTGTAACTCCATCAATAATTTGTGGGGCTGCAACAAGATAAACAACACAAACATCTGTATTGATATCAGGTGTGACTAGGCAATCTTAAACATAGCATCTATATTGATAACAGGTGAGAATAGGCAATCTTAAACATAGCATCTATATTGATATCAGGTGTGACTGAAGGCAATCTTAAACATAGCATCTATATTGATATCAGGTGAGACTAGGCAATCTTTAACAAAGCATCTATATTGATATCAGGTGAGACTGAAGGCAATCTTAAACAAAACATTTATATTGATATCAGGTGTGACTGTAGGAAATCTTGGCAATAAATATTAACAGCTATAATTTTTTTTTTCCCGAGAAGGATGGGGCGGGGCATAACAACATCCACTACAGGATATTTGTGGCAGAGCCCAGCATACTTTTTGATCTCGAAACATTTTCTGTATCTTTACTTTTTTGTTTTAGCAATGATGCAATTGTCATCAACAGACAGCAGTGTTGCAGGTACATAAATGTAAAATAAACATGAGTACATTTTGATAAATTCATAAAAATAACGCAACATGAAAATATCTGCAATCAGATAAAATTTACTGTCAGATCAAAATTGTAGTAAGGTATTTTCTGAAAAAGCTCTCTTACTGTTTTCATGGCATCAACATAATTGGCAATAAATCTCAATTTGACATTCGTCTCAGCAAAGTCTTTACACATATAGGGTTCCTCAGCACATATCACACGTATAGCGAGACCAGGGCCTGCAATAGGAAATAATTCAGGAATCTAAAGCTGTTTTTAAATATTGGATCCAAACTCAAATAACAATGTTGATGTAGTAAGATAATGTATGAATCAACTGTCTGATCCAACTTCCTAAAAGATGAGAATATTGTCAGCAAGACATATATGTAGGTAATTTTTTTTATATATGTTCATACAAAAATGTCACAAATAAAATCTAGATATTGTATATGAATAAAATGTATTTCCAAAATTTAAACGATAATTGTACAGATGAATAATAATAAACTGTGAATCCTGTCTTATTCAAAACACTGGGAACATATTAATGTACCAAGAACTCACGAGGGAAATGTTTAAAGATTGTCGGTTGACATATTAATCAGAATCAAATCTAACATTCCATTACCAGACTTAAAGGATCACACTACTCACCAGGGAATGGGTGCCTGTTGACTAGTTCTGAAGGTAAACCAAGGTCACGACCTATCTGTCGCACCTCATCCTTGTGAAAGTCTTTAAGGGGTTCTACAACACGTCCCTGTCGACGCAGCTCACGCACCAGCTCTGTGTCATTGTGATGCGTTTTTATAGCATCTGCTTTCCCACTGGCTAACTCAGATGCACTCTCTATAAGGTCTGGCCTTAGCGTTCCTACAGGACAAATAACACATTTGCATTAAATATTGATAAAATGTTATTTAAAAACATTCCGTCAGTGTAAACTATTTGTGAGTGCTTTTTTTTATTTGCATTCTGATTTCGGGAAACACATGCTCTATACCTTTATCATAAGACATCCAGTGTATAGCAACATGAAAATCAGTGGCGATACATGTTCAAGACTTTATAATGTTAACTGATACTGACCTTGACCTAAATATACATCCTCCGGTTTGAGATTTAGTTCTTCTATCACATCATTGGCTACCTGTAAAATGTAGATGTTTGTGAAAAGTATTCCACTGACAAACGACAGGATACATTCATAATAACGTTGCAAGACACTGAAATCTTTTAAAATGAATGTTTCCACTTTAAGCTTTATCACAGGAACCTAAAATGAAATATTATGACTCTACTACATGTACATTAAATACTGTTTCAGAAGACGTGACAACCTTGACCTATGACCCCCTTACTATGATATGGTGTACAGCCTGATGCTATGAGGTGAACATGAACGAAATCTCTTAATGACAAGTTCTCAAGACATCAATTGTGAATGGGATGAATTGCTGTATAACATACTAGTAACACTGGTACACCTCCCAATAAAAGAGCTGGGTGTAAAAAAAATTAATTATATACGATGGACGAACCAGGTGAGATCACTATCAAAACAATGAATAAACAAGACATGATTGTGAATAAAGAAACTATAGATTAAATTCTCTGATGTAACCTTGTGGCAATACCTGGAAGTTCTCAGAAAGCTCTGTGTTAGTAAAGAGTAGGGTGTACCTGTATAGCATATATAAATATACCAGAAATTTCTGTGACGACATACGGCAGAAACACTGTTGAAATTAATTTCATGATTTAGAAATGTTTTGTGAAGTAGAACAAATTTTTTCGACTTTGTTCAACGGAGACAAACTGATCAAGAGGACTGTATCAGATGGACGCCTGTTTTAAGGTTTGTTAGGTGATTTGTGAGGGTGGAGGTAGTAGTAGGTGGTGTCAGGTTGCAGAAACATTGAACTTTTGTCAAACATGTAGTTAAAGGAGTTGCTAGCACAGGTCAGAGGTCTACGCAAACGTTCCCATCTGAACTTCTCCCAACAACAGCCAAACAAATTTGTCTAAAATGTGTCTGGATTATAGTGCAGTCACTTTACACAAAAGGTGTAAATGTCATACAAGTCCCTATAATGGTCAAATGAAATTATTTTTTTCTCCATAAATCTAGTTAACTGAGTGAATTTTACAGAGATCCTTGATTTAAATCTGCTGGAGAGATGGTATAATTTGAAGAAGAAAATGTCCAAAACTCACCCGCATAAAGGTGTCCCCGATGATTTTACGTTTATCCTCTGGGTGGATTGTAGTATTAAGGGTGTCCGTTTTCCTCTTTCTAGAGTTTGGGTCAGTCTTATCGATGTGAACCGATGTGGATCCATTGTAAAAAGTGTGCGCTGCTCGGATCACTGTCGCCAAACAAAAACAAGAGGTCAATACTGATTGACAAAGGATTCTGGATACTAGTACACTTCCATAAGCTTATTTAGGTAAATCTTCTTTACCACAGAACCAATGATAGCCTTATAACCTAAATACCACTGATTATCCTATTACTGGTCCGTGATTGTTGTACATAATCAGATTTTACTTTCTCCTTGTAATTGCTCAGTAAACCAGTTGCTTCACACTTTAGCTATTTTCCAAGGAAAGCAAAATAGCAAAAAATAAATTTTGATAAATTAACTATTTCTCTTTTTGGATAAGGGCCTGCGATTTTGTGAATAAGATGCTAGAGGTGAATGCTAAAAATGATATCTGGTAACATTCTCCACTCATATGTATCATATTAGTGATGGTGTTAATTCTCTATTTGGAACAGACAGAAATATAAAAACTTTAAAATCTAGAATTATCTTGAGATAAAAGTTACACCATAGTTGCCACTCAACTTTGTGCTATAAATAGAATATGATTGTCTTACCTTTGACACTGAGTCCCATGCGAGTAAGTGACTGTTCTACTGAAGAACTCTCATTCTTCCTCATGAAGCCATTGTCTATATGTACAGCTATAACCTGTTCTTCCTTCAGTGCTTTGTGTAGTAGTGCTGCACACACCGTGGAATCCACTCCACCACTTAGTAACATCTACACACAAAACAGACATGTCATGTATGTAGTCACAGGATAATGTATTTATCCCACATGACTCTTAATAAGCCCACCTTATATCTATGGCTGTATAACAGTTTAGACCCATTCGACTTGTGGCAGAATAAATACATATACATGTCAACCAAATATTAACTCCCTTACAACAGCACAAAAGTTGAATAGTATGTTTACAGCAAACAGCAATAAAAATGGTGAACTAAATGTTTATAGCAAAGAGTGAAACAAAGACAAAACAAAAACAAGCAGTCATTTATATAGAAAGAGTTTCTATTGTGTCAAACTAGTTTCTCTTTTTCAACTACGAAATTCTGCCATGTATTTTATAGTTCTATTATAACCTAAGATTTCAAACATAAAATGTTGTCACCACTGGAAAAGTAACACCTTGGTTACCAGCATTACAAAATCAAAACAAGGAAAACAAAAGTGATGATGCAGAGTTTGACAATCCTGCATGCTTACCAGGACTTTATGGTCTTTGACGGTATCCCTGATGTAGGCGATACAAGCATTCTCACGACTGGCCATAGTGTAGCTTGCCTCACATTTAACTATTGTGAAGAGGAAGTTTTCAAACATGGTCACTCCATGCTCTGTTAGATCTACTTCTGGATGGAACTGTACTCCATATAACTTCTGTTTATCATTAGCTATACCTGTCAAAAGACAGCAAAAACAAATCTATAATATAGTACCATGGTGAAAGTTGTGTTTTTATCAATTATTAACTACAACTCAACATTCTGATTCTGTTAAAATATAAATATTTATTCATTTTACAAGAATTGCGAAACAAGTTATCAGCTTATATCAATCATGCTTGTTGCCCTGGATGGAGTGCACGAGGGGTCTTATTGTGGTAGAAAACTGCAGTACCTGAGGAAAACCCACCAAGTCAAGCAGGTGACACGTTCCTGGAATCGAACCCCGGATGACTAAACAAAAACCTGATATTCTGATACTGTGTGTCAATAGTTCTAACTAAACTTATTTTAATTATAGAAGAATATTTTGTTAAGTGTAGACTAAATTTCATCAACTGATTCATACGAGAATGATTATTATATAAGCAATTAATACTAATTATGCTAAATAAATAGTGCACTATATAAGTAATGTATATCATTAATATTACATACACATGAGTAAGGGCTGTGATGTTTGTTATATTTAAATGTTTACATTATACCTGGTAAACAAACAAATTAAATGTGTACATGAAATGCATGATTAATTTCCTTTTTATTGAAAGACTATATCAAGTATTTTCTCTTCAAAATCAATATGAATGAGTATCAGATAGTGGTGGTCGGTTAGTACAGTAGTACCCACTCACCTTTCACCTAGCCGTTCTGAGCTTGATTCCCAGAACAGACATGAAAAGGGATGGGGTCACCTGCCCGACCACGTGGGTTACTCTAGTTTTTTCCCACAGTAAAACCCTTTAGTGCACTTCTATCCACACCAAAAGGAGTGATAATATAAGCTGATAGCTTGTTTTGCAATTGTTGAAAAATAAATAAGCTTGTTTTGCAATTGTTGAAAAATAAATAAAGTTCATATTATACAAGTCAAACTTGTCCCCTCCCTTCTGGCTAATCCAAATCATGCCTTTTTGAGGAATTCTAATTTGCATATTACTCATTTGATATTATCTCAAGCATTTATGTGATAAATGGATTTATACATCATATTTATAATTTATTTACCTGACAATAAATATCAGGGCAACTCAACCATCCAGACAACACTAGATATTATATACTCTACCTGCCACCAGACTGCCAGACTTTGCCACGACCTTGAACCCATCAGCGACCTTATCTACACTATCTCCATGTGTCAGCAGTACCGTCTGTTCTTTACTTAGTCCTCTGTATCAAAGTCAAAATCACAAGTTACAAATACAATCTACTAACGAAATATATATCACAGTAAAACTTTACTTGGTCTTCTATATCCAAGTCAAAATCACATTTAATGACATGTTAAAATAAAATACACATCACCATAAAAATATCATTTACAATTTTTCCCAAATAACATATCAAACCAGAAAATGTTTTTAAGACTGGCATCAGAATTCCTTACTTAGCAGCGAATCGTTAATAATTTTTATTATAACTAGTTAACTGAGTTGACCTTTGAACTCAAGATACATAAACTAATCTTAGATATTCTCTCACTTAACTTTTAATCAGTTTTTAACTTCAGAAATGAATCATTATAGAGATGCTATTGAAGAAACAGGACAGCATGGGTGTTAGATTGAAAATCTGTAAAATATATCTAACATTACCACAGAGTATAAATTAGTGCGAGAACAGGTAACCAAATATCCAGTTTACAGTTTGGTTGGTATCCTGGAGGTGCTTGTTTTACACACTGGTTACTCTATTTTGGCAAAGAGTATGAATGAGCAAGATTCATAATAGAAATTGTAAATGCCTAGGTAGGGTGTGCATCAGAACTATGTGAAGGATATAAACTTTGCCTGTACATTTGTTACACTTGTTGACATATTTCTGTTAGTGTTGTAGTTTTCTGAAAGTATCCCTAAATGAAACTGATAACCAGCCATATCTGTAACAGTGTGTTGTATATTGTTCGTATGATCAAACAGAATGAGAACAAAAGCAAAGGCAGTTTATCCAGTCATGTTTCCTTTAGTCTGAGTCAGGTATACGGTTGGAATTTTTGCCAACACTTGCAGCATTAGTCAACAGAATCTACAAATTGAGGAAAAATTTGCTCACTTGAATAGGGGCGACTTCGTTTCCACAGTGATGTTAAACTGACCATCCTCACGAGCTTCTTTTTGAACGACACTGCCATTGAACTCCTTGTTCAACATCTGTGATAAATTGAATGAATTAATTCTAGGGGTTGTAGAGATACTACAACAGTTTAAATATAAATATAAACATGGTCTAAAATACAAGGGACATTTTCTAAAAAATAATCCCACAAGTTTAGTATACATCTCAGGAATGGTATCAAAATTACACTCCAAAGTACAGTTAATTGTATCACAGCACACATGTGAATGAATTACATCATCTACTCAGTAAACCTGTCTGACCCTAGGACATCTTGGTTACTCTATTAGTCAAAGAATATAAATGAGCAAGTTCAGGTTCAGGAGTGGAGATAGTGAGAGCAAATAATGACCAACAATGACATAAAATATGGTCGGGTGGCACAGTGGTAATGCACTAGCCTTTCACCAAGCCGTCCGGGGTTTGATTCCCGGAATGGATGTGAAAAGGTATGGGGTCACCTGCCCGACCACGTGGGTTTTCCCTGGGTACTCCGGTTTCCTCCCACACTAAGACCCCTCGCGCTCTTCCATCCGAGCCAACAAGAGTGATTTATATAAGTTGGAAAAACTTGCTTCGCAATTGTTGTAAAATAAATAAAGTTTATTATCATATAAAATACATCTGTAAAAAAAACTAGTAACAGTATATATATACATATGGACCTATTACCAGGATAGCTGGTTTATTGGGTTGTCCTGAATGAAAATGTTGATAAGACCTACCTGCATGCCATAGCATATTCCCAGCACTGGTAATCCACAACGAAATATATCTGGATCATAGCGCGGTGCGTCCTCAGCATATACAGAGTTGGGGCCTCCAGATATGATGATACCTCTGAAGCCAATAACATATCGGATGAAGATCTTAGCAACACTCCACTATCTTTCTGTCAAGGTTAATTTCTCAAACTGAACTTTCTTCGAGCAAATTTCAGTTTTTTATGAAAATTCTAATAAAATTTAATCATCTGTTGTCTTAAAAAAAACAATCATCATGAAATTTTAAAGTTAATTCACTGATCTTCACTGTACATCTTCATACTTCAAATAACAAGACTAGTTGGTGAGTTAGTCCTCTGACATAAGGCCTCACAGAAGTGAACCCATACTCCAGGTATGATGTTTCATTGACGAGTAATGTAGAAGATAGAGCTCACACAAGAAAGTGGAAGGACAGAAGAACAGACAGAGACAACATAAACTATCCAACTATGCACCCCTTCACTGTTCCTGGTGGGGCCTATTAAGACATAACTCTATAAGTATGTATATTCATTAGGGCTGTTCTGATAAGCAATTTGATGACTGAAGGTAAACAATGTGTAATTGATTAATGACTTTCAGAGAGATAGCTGTGAAGTAACGTAATGTTAACAATATCTGAACAATGCATCACATAACTTTGAGAAGAACCAGAATTGTTGTGTTTTGACAAACATGATTGAGACTGAAATTAAAGTATTTATACAAATCATGTGTGTGTCATATGACAGAATATATTATCTGTGTTTAAATGAAGCAAATGCTCTTCTCAGTATTTCATTCCGATTTTGTATCTAGCAGCTGTCAGCAGTTGATAAAAGTCAAAGATTGAAACTATTTAACACAGTTTACAAAATAAACTAACAAAGACAACGAAAAGGAAACATATCACTAGTAATCATAGACATGTCAGCATCATGTTTATAGAAAATACAACCGTAATGAAATGTGATTTTTTTTCCCAAATAACAATTACACCATTATAGGAAAACAAATATTGATCACTAGTACTATTGGTTTAGTAAAGATTTAATCTGTGAAAGAGTGAAACAAATGAAAAAGATTTACACCGCTGACTAACATTAGATCTGTATCCATACTTGAATATGATGTGTTGTTCAGGTTTGTATTCATATCAGTTGATTTCTGCTGACTTAAGATTGATGATATATGGACTTCAGACAATTACATAACACACATCACAAAAATGACATACATATAACCAATTTGTTTTGCTGACAAATCATGTATACATATAGAGCCAAAAGAAACACAACTGTCGGTACAACATGCACAGACGCTAAACTGCTGACGGTTTACTAAAATCGGAAACAGTTAAATATAAACCAAATATGGTTTTACACTCACTATAGTGACAACATTGGTCTCTTTTTAATACATGAATTATGACACAGGTTGTCACTCATTATAGTGACAACATTGATCCCCTTGTTACAGTGTAACGTGTACTCACCTGTATTTGCGTTCCTTGATGGTAAATGCTGGAGTGTCAAGTGGCAGGATATCTGTCTCTACATTTAGTTCTCGGACACGTCTATCAATGACCTGTATACGTAAGATTATCACAATAAAACAAGAATTTTCAATTATAACATTATAACACACACACACCAAAATCTCCTGATATTCAACGACCATGGTATCAGCTATTACAGATCCATCAAAATAATATTCATATCATAGTGCACTAACTTATTCTCAAAATTTGAATAGAAAAAACAAAAAAAACAAAAAAAAACAAAAAAAACAAAAAAAACAAAAAAAACAATAACCAACCAAAATAAGAATCAAAACTGTAAAATTTTAACACTTTAGTTTATACTGTCTTTGATTTAATTTCTATAATTCATACTGAATAATTCAATCAGCCCTCATCTGAAGCCTTCAGTACAGTATGATAAAATATTACAGGAAGCACCTGCAGCCCAATGATTCTACATCATAGACCCTCTTATATCATTTACCTGTCACTAGCATATTGTACAATCCAATTGAAATGGCAGTGTGATTTATATAAATGTAACAGCTGTACACTCAATATACTGATACATTTTTATAAATACAAGGTTCTAAAGTAATGTCGTTTTAAAATCGTGGAAATAAAATGAAAAAGTCTTCAATGAAATTTTGCTTGAAGTAACTATCGCTATAGAGTATGGTTTCTTACAATATTGCCCTCGTCATGAGGGCTTAATTCATTTTCTAAAAAAAATGTTTGAGCTGCACATTTAAGTTTTAATCAGCATAAATATATAAACATATTTATTTACACATAACAAACATATATCTATAACAAATCAAGTATGGCATTCAGGACAACTCAGCAATCAATACACAAATCTATTCTGTACAAATTAACACAAATATTCTACCAGTCTGGATTATGTGACAGCAACCTTAAGACGGAAAGTGATCTGTTAAGTAATGTATCACATCAGTTGTGATTATACATCTTTTGTTTTGACAATAAACCCAGATCAAAAACACCTAGTGTATTTTTTCCAGTATAGTTATTAATGCAATGCTATGAGTAATCTAAAACCTTTAAATCTATATTTAATTAAAATCACTGAAGCATGCTGAAAGGTAAATGCACACTTCAAAGTCAGCATCTACAGTATGTACAATGTATTCTAGCAAACGCTAGCTGGCTCCATGTAATTCACAAAATCTTAATTTCTTTGAGGCAATGAGTGTTACCAAGGTAACAACAACAAATAAACTTTTAACCTGATGCTAACTAAGTCTATCTTTAGAATAAGCTAGGAAAGCTTCTGCATTCAAATCCCTATAGCTAGTTGCATCATTTTTATTTTTTTATCCAGTTCTACGTCCATTATTATGGCCTTTTAAGTAGACAAGCGTGCTGTATAATTAGTGAATACAAGTCTTTCATACTTATCTACAGGGTTAGAACTCAAGAAAAAATTTCTTATTCTGATATTCAATCATAATAAGAAGTGTGAAATTGGAGTGGTTTACCATTAACAGAAAACTTTCCCCATACTACCACTAATCTCTATAGAATCACCTCAAGAACAGCAATTACCTTTCCATACTGGGCACCTGCATCAAGGATGACTATTCTATCACCATCTTTGGTCCCATTAGCCTGCCCCACCGCTGACGACCCATTCATTGCAGAATCTGAAACACACATGACACTGGATATACATAGAAACAGAAGTTCTTCCTATCACAACCAGTAGAAGATTAAAGTATGGCATTTCAATGACTACACGGTTGGTGGAGGAAACCATCTGGATTTCTTACTATCTCGTACACTATGTACATCAGTGCTAGTAAACTCCACACTGGTCATTTGTCTGATGAAGGTGACAGTGTAGTCAACAAAAAGTCACAGAAAATTTTCTACTGGTGTTGTTATAAGAATTTCTATTCTATGTAGAGATAGAAAAAATACAATTTCATATCATAGAAAAGTTAATTTATGTTAGGAAAGACATATTTGTCCTTCTTTTCTGCATCAGTGACTAACTTTGTATTTAACAATACAAACCATGAACTTGATTTATCAGCAACATCAGCATTAAAACAGAGGCAATTATTTGCTTGTATTCCACAGTAACCTTCTGTAATCTGAAGCATGCTCTTGCTACATGTTGCATTAGTATATATATAACCAGCGATATTAGATATATTGATATCTTCCTTACATAACAAGGCACAGTTCTACATATTTTACTTTCAGTAGTTAATCAATGTTGATCAAAGCATTATCTTACTATTAGCCCGGTGACAAGGTTGCTCCATTGGTAGAGTTTTGAGGGTTACAGGCTGGAGCCCCAGTCTGGCCTTGCATTTTCCCCATATTACATTTGTTGGCGGGACAATATGATGCTTACAGTAGGGCCACCCATGACATACAAGTAAAAAGGTAGGGACCAGACAAAGTGTGATTCCCTGGTCTCCCAGGTTGGGCTGAACGCTAACAACTCTCTCCTAAAATCACTTATTACAGAAACCAGGAAACCAGGTACTATTTGGTGCCAGAGACCAACAAACCCTTGTTTCAAACAGGTGAATACTTGATAAGGAGATACCAATCATGACTTGTAAATTGTGTCGTTGAAGGCAACGACTGACATAATGCCATGGAACTGGACTGGGTTGGTTGTTAGTGACTAGGAAGCTCAACTAGAAGAGCATCTACCTCAGAGTTCCGAAGGTCCAGGGTTTGAACCCCTCTGGCAGTGTATTTTTCAAATTTCTGTTGTAGCGCTATGTAGTCTCCTATCCCTTCTATCATCTCTGCATAGAAATACAGTAAAACCATTTGAAACCCTTTCAAAAGAGATTGGTATATAAAAATTTCAGCTGTGTTCTCCAAAGATTATCTTTTAAGCTATGCAATTGAGAATTGTGTTTATGTACTGAAGTTCAGCTTTGTCAAGTGTGGTCAGCACTTGGGTGGGTGACAGTTATGTTTTATCCCAGTTGTATGTTACATTTGGTAGCAGCAAGTAAGCATGGTATCTTGTAGGGTATAACCTTTGAAAACATGGGAAGAACAATGTTCTTGGAGAATTTTTGAGGACTTCAGGTCTAAACCTGAGGTGGCCATATATCCAAATACCTACATAGGTAGCTAAGCTAAGTTTGATGAGGTGACTCTGGCACAAAGACCAGTTGTCTGCTGTGATGCCTCACACTCTGTAAGCTAAGCATAGCTGCACATGAAGTATTTAGAAAACAAAGCCTTGTTGCCTTGATATATTAGCAAAATAATTTACCATGATTTGTTAAAAAGGAAATACCTTTTGGATAAATGTTTGGTAGCTTTTAATCTTAGACATCTGTAGTTGTTCTCATTCTTTTTACAATAGAGCTGTTGTTATTTGTTTACATTTGTCATGGATATGTCCTTATGTATACTTTCTATTTGTTGCATGTTAATAAAATTACCTTTTTGGGTATTTCAGAGTGTTAATCATATTTTCTGGTTGACATGGAACCTCAGATCTTAGAACTTACACATAAATTCTGGACTGTTTAAGTCTGTACAAGACAAAATATAATTTGAAGCTGTTCATTTTCTATATCTACTGTTTTTTCTGTATAATGAACATGTAACTCATAGTATGTAATACAAGCGCAGTTCTTCAAGTGCTGAAGTTGCCCTAGCAAATTAAAAGCCCTATACCATTATTCTGTCAAAACATTACGTCTAAACAACAGGAGTTGATGCAGCAGAGAAGAATTCTTCCAGAAGAGGAACAACATGGAGTATTGGTTTTCCGCACTATTCATGGGCAATGTTAATGAAAAATACTTTTGTAACATTTCTTAAACAGCTTTCTTGAATACATTTGACTTCCTTTTAGTTTTTATTCAATGTAAATATGATTTTGCACAAATGAAATTTGGCACGAATTGAATTTTTTATCCCTCCAACAAATATCAGGACATCACAAAATATCCTCCAGCAAATAAAACGTCAATGTCACAATAATTGTGTGATCGATCGCTCGCTATTGCGCGCCAAATTTGCTTCATTTATTGGAGTTTCTTCGAGTACTAACCAACATTTCTGTTATTTTTCTATATACTTTTATTGACAGAATGTCATTGTGACATATAAGATTCCATTTTCCAGGTACTGCCTGACCCATATTTAAAAATTACACCAGTTAAAATAAGAAGCATTATACACAAAAACATTGTTTCAATCCCGAATACTCCGATCGATGCTGCATTTGTCCGAAAGTGTTATTCTATCACATTCTCACGAAACTTGAAAGTGGTTGTTTACATATTCTGCCGACACGAGGGTCACTAAAGTTGACTTGATCGCGAGCAGCATCAAGCGTAACATTGCATATACAGTTTAAGGTACGCGTTATAATGTGTTTAAACAGATCCAGCGGGCATACATATACTCACATCAGATTTCCACGTAAATTCAGATGTTGTTATTTTTTCTAGTGTCCTTAACACAGTGCAAAATGATTTTCGCGGAAGATTCACATGGATGCCTTTACGCATGTGCGACATTTACTTCACAGACTGTTCAAATCAAGAAGTTGATTGGTCAAATGAATTTATGAAAACTGTATTTGTTCAACTATTAATTTTTTATGGCAAATACCGACAATATATTTTAAGTCAGATTGCCAATTAAATGTAATTCATGCGAATATTTCTATAAATTTACTTTTTTCACTTGTCGTTGTCAGGCAGACGAAAATGGTTGTAGCAACAACACTTGTAGCTTCCGGTATAATATAGCCATCTAAAGCACTTGCATCTGTGATTTAAACTTACAGGGAAAACTTAGCCAGGTAAGAAATATACATGTATATACTTCTATTGTGTATGAAAATATCATCACGTCCCAGTACAAATGTCACGATATAAAAATAAAACACCTTTAGCTAACCTAACGGGCACCTGTTGACTCTAATTGATTCTGCATAATTCTCGATAGTAAATACTAATACAACTAATTGGTTGAGTAAGGATCCAGATAATTAAAAGTGCTTTAAGTATCTGTCTGTGATTCTACTTCAGTGAGTAACAGTAAGATAAACTAAAAAGTCATAGACAAATTGAAAAATACAAGAAAAGTATTGAAAATTAAATTAATCCATCATGTTATGTGTGTAGGTCCTCTTTAATAGGGAGAATGATTGAAATGATTAATTACAGATCTGCTTAACAAGGCATCAGTCATGATTATGAGTCTGAGATTTGTTCCATTTGACAGGATGGCGACCCAGGACCTCGGTATGGATATGATAACAAAGCGACCTCGGACCCCTAGGGATCCATACACAACGCTAACTGACATCCAGATAAAAAATCTAAAAAAGGTATGTATTCCTCCTCTTCCATGATGCTCTCCTCCTCTTGTGTCACCCTCCACATCCTTTTCCTGTGTCGCCCTCCTCATCTTCTTCCTGTGTCACCCTCCTCCTGTGTCACCCTCCTCCTGTGTCACCCTCCTTATCTTCTTCCTGTGTCACCCTCCTCCTGTGTCACCCTCCTTATCTTCTTCCTGTGTTGCCCTCCTCATCTTTCTCCCTTGTCACCCTCCTTATCTTCCTCCTGTTTCACGCTTTTTTTTATGTGCTGTGCCCTCTTGCTCGTCCTCCTCCTACATTACCTTCCTATCCTCCTTATATCCTCTCCTTGCTGTGTCCCCTTTACCTCTACCAGTTGTGTCTTCTTGTTTTGGGGTCACGGTGGCCAAGTAGCTAAGGCGTAATGTCATTAATCACTATATCCCTCCACCTCTGGGTTGCGTGTTCGAGACTCATGTGGGGCAGTTGCCAGGTACTGACCGCAGGTCGGTGGTTTTCCCCAGGTACTCCGGCTTCCTCCACCATCTAAACCTGGCACGTCCTTAAATGACCTTAGTTGTCAATAGGACGTAAAACAACAATAAACCAAATAAACCAAATCTTCTTGTTTGTCCTCCTCCTGTGTCCCTCTCATCATCTTTATGTATCTCCCTTCCTTATTCTTGACACCTTTGTCCCTTTTGCTTGTTGATCCATATTATTTACCAATTCATATCTTTCCTTCCTTTTCAACCTCCTCCTATGTCCCCTCATCAACCTGCTCCTTTGTTTCCCTCCAGTGCCTCCCTCCTCCTTCACCTCCTCCTCCTTGTCCTGTGTTCCTTCCTCCTTCTACTTATCCTGCGTCCCCCTTCTTCCTCTTTCCCTCCTCCTGTATCCTCCTTTCTCTTCTCATTGTCTTCTTCCTATGTACCCTTCTCTTTCTCCTTGTCCTCCTCCTGTGTTCCTCTTCTTCTTGTCCTCTTCCTGTGTTCCCCGTCTCCTTCTCCTTGTTCTCATACTATGTCTCCCTTCTTGTCCTCTTCCTTTGTCCCCTCTGCCTTCTCCTTTTCCTCATCGTTTGTCCCACTTTTCCTTTACCTTGTCTCTTCCTGCATCCTGTCCCTTCTTCTTGTCCTCCTCTTACATTTCATCATTCTCCTTCTCCTCCTGTGTCTCGCTTTTCCCTTGCCTTTTCTCCTTCTCTGCCTCTTTTAACATGCTGTAATGTCATGTTGCAGGACCCACAGGCATACTTTATGAACAGCCAGGGTAAAAACAAACCATATCCTATGACAGGATGGTACCGTGACCGATACGCCAAGGACATGAACCAGCACCTTGTACGAGGAATATCTAAATCTCAACCATATTGCTATATAGACTACCAATGGAACAGAAGTCCACCAGACCTTCATAACACAGTCAGGCACGGAGCTGCTGAGCGCTGGGGACCTGATAAAGTTGGTCAGTAAATAATTTGGGGTAGATCAGCTCTGTATGTTCCAGAAATGATGATTACCAGGCAAAAATGAAAATATCTCTCGTTTCTTTTTTCAATTATTGGAAATTTACTGTAGAAAGTACCATATATTTATAGAAAAGATGTCAATTTTAATGGCTATTATTTTTTTTTCAGGCATGAGAACTGTACAGCACTTTAATGGTCCTGAAGATAACAATCGGTTTGTCAGTACAGAATTATACAGGAGACAGCCCACAAATGAACCTGGCTTTGTGAGCACAACATATGGACGTCCGGGGAATGGGTACTACTTATTAAGAAACCCTAGTAAGTAATTGTTGAAGCTGCCGGGAACTTGTTGGCCTACATTTTGAGTGTTCATTAGATATGTTTACATGGTATGGCTTGTTAGCACACTTACCTAAAGGGGAAATAATGGGGTTTTGCCATGGCCCGAATTTTTTTCTTTTGACAGCTTTTTCTCAGTAAAGAAGAGGCATAGGGCCATGATATTGGACAAGCAGCATGCATGCTATGGTTAATGGCTAAAAAGTGTGTTCAAGGGAATAACCTTGATCTATTCTGAAGATCTCAAAAGCAAAATGCATAAAGATATGAAAACAATTTCATTTCTGTAACAAGAAGACCAAAGATCATGATATTGGGCTACCAAATTTATTCAAATGAATGACCCTGACCCACTTTAACGGTCACAGAGGTCAGATGTGGTAAAAGAAATCTTCATATAGCACATTTTTGATAACACAAATACAAAGTTTTAAAGCTAAAATTGAGAGTGTTTGTGTATTGAGAAACCGAAATTTACACCACTGCTCTCAATTTAGATTTATAACTCTGTATTTGTTTTATGTTCTATGTATGTGATGTAGTTTATGTAATATTTGTGTCTTGATAAAGGAGCAGGTTACCTGGAAAATTTGACAATTCGCCTGTTCATACTGTTGCTATTACTTCATTGATCATATATATGTATATATATATGAATAAGATGAGAAGAGCAGTTGAACGATACAGGCCCAATGAGTCACTTGAAGTTATTGTTAGATTGGAATTAAATCTGATTCCTTTTTGACGAGACTGGGCTCATTTAGTTAGGATTTTTACCTAACAATAAGTCTACATTTGATAATAAGCCTACTCATTACGAATGCCTTTCATTTTTAGGAATTGAGTCTACTCAACAGTCTTTGAGTGAATATCTTGCTCTCTGGGCTTATCATAGGATCGACATGGTACATGTATTGTGATCAATGAATGTCAACAGCACATTTGCTAGATCTGTAGTATTAGAATTTCATGTTTCTGGCAAAATCTATCAGGTTAAAAGGTGATTCATAATCAAATTGGAAAGAAAAGTGAAATGAGTATGAGACAAAGAATATTTCACTGCCTCTGCTAGGATTCCAACCTGGGACCTCTGGTTTACTTGTCAGCTGTTCAACTGATTGAGCAAGAGAAGTTCTCTCTAGCTTAACGGTATATTGGGGGTAGTATTCAACAGGATTTTGTACTCCCCCTCCAGGAAATGTTTCGTCCTGTAGTTTCCAGAGGTTACATGCTAGGGATGTCTGTGGGACAATGCTAAGTATTATCCCGGAGTGCTTACATAGGCGCCAGTGTAATAGAGGTCATTATTTATTTCGTTGGCTCTGCTAGGATTCCAACCCAGGACCTCTGGTTTAGTAGTCTGACGTTCAACCGATCGAGCTAAAGAAAAGTTCTTTCTAGCCAAGTGGAACAATATGGCTAGTATTTACCAGGGTTACAAGTATATGGCACTGACGAAAATCTTGATATTTTTAAAATTTCAGATACGAAAACATGGTTTGGATCTACTGTGCCTCTGAATCGTACTGGAATTTTAGAATCAATACAACCAAAAACAGTCGCGGAATACGAAGCAATTCGAAAGTGTGAGCAGGAATCTATCGCCCAGAGGAAGGGAAGATACCCCGTGTATTCTGAGTACACAGATAGATTTGGTTTAAAGACAAAGATTGAGCCTATGATGAACACGTGAGTTTAGTCACTGGATATTTTCACTGTGCTGCTCTTCAGGTTTGGCTGTTTCGGCAGATAAACTAGAATAAGTTATCAAATAACAATTTAATGGAACTCATTTCTGTTAACATACTTATTCTGGCACAATTAAATTTTAGTGCAATTTTTGAACATATAGTGCATTGGTGAGTTCACACATTCACATTAGTTGTTTTATCAATGACACACAGTAACTGAAATTAAATTATCACAATCGTATTTTAGCATAATATCTCTGGTGTGAAAAGCAAGCAAAAAATGAGATGAACACAAAAATATAAATGCTTACAGTACTACATATTTATATGCAGTGAAAACCTCCACATACATGTAATTGTAAACCTAATTTACATAAAGTATAGGAAATCTTAAACTAATTATTCATCCTTTAAAATATTTTATTGTCTCATGTCATTCCCTTTAAACATTCTACGGTACAATTCACTTGTCATGGCCAACTTAGTGAAAAGGAAATAGCACTCCGTACAGGGTTTACATGAAAACTGTACACTTTGAATTTTACATTGATGACTCCGAATTCATAAAAGCGAATCACCGTGAACTCGTTATATTACTGGAAAAAGAAAAATTCACAGCCACAAAAAGAAATATTATTCACAGTCATTAAAAACTTGCTAAAAATCATATATGACCATCATTTCATTAATTGTATTTCTAACTAATAAAGAGACAATAAGATTCCTTTTTCTATCATCTTTGTAAAAGATATAATTACCATTATCTTAGATGTAAAAGTGAATACCGTTATTTTAGATGTGAAAGATAATTACCATTATTTAAGATGTAGAAGATGATGTTCATTATCTTAAATGTAAAGGTGAATTCCATTATTTTACATATAAAAGATAATTACTATTATTTTACATGTAAGATAATTACCATTATTTTAAATGTTAAAGATAATTTCCATTATTCTACATGTTAATGACTCTCCATGTTTGTCTTGATTTTTGTCTACATGAACTTATTTACTAATCTGTTTCAATATTATCTCTGGAAGAGTCAAGGATATATATTAAAGGATAGAACAAAGCTAATTTATTGATGATTATTAATTTATATAAACATGTATTTAGTACAAAGAAACCAAATCATACCAAAATTTAATTTGAAGAATTATAAGTATATGTTTTTGCCTCTTCCAACAATTAAAAACCTAATTCTGTACTAATTTTACATTCCTCCTTCATGCCTGACGCAGGATGCCTACCCATTGTTATTAGTAGGTACAGCACTTTGTTGTGTGTTTCAGTTTTGCATCAATATATTTATCAATGCGTAGTGTGACTAGGTACATGAGTGTTTAGTGTGACTAGGTATGTGACTGTGTAGTGTGACCAGGTACATAACTGTGTAGTGTGACTAGGTACATGGCTGTGTAGTGTGACTAGGTACATGAGTGTGTAGTGTGACTAGGTATGTGACTGTGTAGTGTGGCCAGGTATGTGACTGTGAAGTGTGACCAAGTATGTGACTGTGTATTGTGACTAGGTACATGACTGTGTAGTGTGACCAGGTACAGAACTGTGTAGTGTGATCAGGTACATTATTGTGTAGTGTGACAGGTACAAGGCTGTAGTGTGACTAGGTACATAACTGTGTAGTGCAACTAGGTACATGGCTGTGTAGTGTGACTAGGTACATGAGTGTGTAGTGTGACTAGGTATGTGACTTTGTAGTGTGACTTTGTAGTGTGACTAGGTGTGTGACTGTGTAGTGTGACTAGGTGTGTGACTGTGTAGTGTGACCAGGTATGTGATAGTGTATTGTGACCAGGTATGTGACTGTGTAGTGTGACCAGGTATGCAACTGTGTATTGTGACTAGGTACATGACTGTGTAGTGCGGCTAGGTATGTGACTGTGTAGTGTGACCAGGTACATAATTGTGTAGTGTGACAGGTACAAGGCTGTGTATTGTGACTAGGTACATGACTGTGTAGTGTGACAGGTATGTGAGTGTGTAGTGTGACCAGGTATGTGAGTGTGTAGTGTGACCAGGTATGTGACTGTGTAGTGTGACCAAGTATGCGACTGTGTATTGTGACTAGGTACATGACTGTGTAGTGTGACCAGGTACAGAACTGTGTAGTGTGATCAGGTACATTATTGTGTAGTGTGACAGGTACAAGGCTGTAGTGTGACTAGGTACATAACTGTGTAGTGCAACTAGGTACATGGCTGTGTAGTGTGACTAGGTACATGAGTGTGTAGTGTGACTAGGTGTGTGACTGTGTAGTGTGACCAGGTATGTGACTGTGTAGTGTGACCAGGTATGTGACTGTGTAGTGTGACCAGGTATGCGACTGTGTATTGTGACTAGGTACATGACTGTGTAGTGTGGCTAGGTATGTGACTGTGTAGTGTGACCAGGTATATAATTGTGTAGTGTGACAGGTACAAGGCTGTGTACTGTGACTAGTTACATGACTGTGTAGTGTGACAAGGTATGTGACTGTGAAGTGTGACCAGGTATATAACTGTGTAGTGCAACTAGGTACATGGCTGTGTAGTATGACTAGGTACATGAGTGTGTAGTGTGACTAGGTATGTGACTTTGTAGTGTGACTAGGTGTGTGACTGTGTAGTGTGACCAGGTATGTGATAGTGTAGTGTGACCAGGTATGTGACTGTGTAGTGTGACCAGGTACATAATGTGTAGTGTGACAGGTACAAGGCTGTGTATTGTGATTAGGTACATGACTGGGTAGTGTGACAGGTATGTGAGTGTGTAGTGTGACCAGGTATGTGAGTGTATAGTGTGACCAGGTATGTGACTGTGTAATGTGACAGGTACATGGCTGTGTAGTGCGGCTAGGTATGTGACTGTGTAGTGTGACCAGGTACATAATTGTGTAGTGTGACAGGTACAAGGCTGTGTATTGTGACTAGGTACATGACTGTGTAGTGTGACAGGTATGTGAGTGTGTAGTGTGACCAGGTATGTGACTGTGTAGTGTGACCAGGTATGTGACTGTGTAATGTGACAGGTACATGGCTGTAGTGTGACCAGGTACATGACCATGTGGTGTGACCAGGTATGTGAGTGTGTAGTGTGACCAGGTATGTGACTGTGTAGTGTGACAGGTACATGGCTGTAGTGTGACCAGGTATGTGACTGTGTAGTGTGACCAGGTATGTGACTGTGTAGTGTGACAGGTACAGAACTGTGTAGTGTGATTAGGTACATTATTGTGTAGTGTGACAGGTACAAGGCTGTAGTGTGACTAGGTACATAACTGTGTAGTGCAACTAGGTACATGGCTGTGTAGTGTGACTAGGTACATGAGTGTGTAGTGTGACTAGGTGTGTGACTGTGTAGTGTGACCAGGTATGTGACTGTGTAGTGTGACCAGGTATGTGACTGTGTAGTGTGACCAGGTATGCGACTGTGTATTGTGACTAGGTACATGACTGTGTAGTGTGGCTAGGTATGATACTGTGTAGTGTGACCAGGTATATAATTGTGTAGTGTGACAGGTACAAGGCTGTGTACTGTGACTAGTTACATGACTGTGTAGTGTGACAAGGTATGTGACTGTGAAGTGTGACCAGGTATATAACTGTGTAGTGCAACTAGGTACATGGCTGTGTAGTATGACTAGGTACATGAGTGTGTAGTGTGACTAGGTATGTGACTTTGTAGTGTGACTAGGTGTGTGACTGTGTAGTGTGACCAGGTATGTGATAGTGTAGTGTGACCAGGTATGTGACTGTGTAGTGTGACCAGGTACATAATGTGTAGTGTGACAGGTACAAGGCTGTGTATTGTGACTAGGTACATGACTGTGTAGTGTGACAGGTATGTGAGTGTGTAGTGTGACCAGGTATGTGAGTGTGTAGTGTGACCAGGTATGTGACTGTGTAATGTGACAGGTACATGGCTGTGTAGTGCGGCTAGGTATGTGACTGTGTAGTGTGACCAGGTACATAATTGTGTAGTGTGACAGGTACAAGGCTGTGTATTGTGACTAGGTACATGACTGTGTAGTGTGACAGGTATGTGAGTGTGTAGTGTGACCAGGTATGTGACTGTGTAGTGTGACCAGGTATGTGACTGTGTAATGTGACAGGTACATGGCTGTAGTGTGACCAGGTACATGACCATGTGGTGTGACCAGGTATGTGAGTGTGTAGTGTGACCAGGTATGTGACTGTGTAGTGTGACAGGTACATGGCTGTAGTGTGACCAGGTATGTGACTGTGTAGTGTGACCAGGTATGTGACTGTGTAGTGTGACAGGTACATGGCTGTAGTGTTACCAGGTACATGACCATGTGGTGTGACAGCTCATATGTTTTATTATTATCATAGGTTATGATTATGTTTTTACCTCAATGAACCTTGGCCACATTTTCCTTGTGAAACAGTGCTTTTGGTTTGATAAACCACTGCATGCAGCCATTGCTATATTTTGAATTCATCATCATCATCATCATCATCATCATCATCATCATCATCATCATCAGGAAATCAAATTTCATGTAAAAATGATTTCAAATTTCTGAAAAAATAGTAGTAACGGGTTGGTAGGCAAGGACTGTAAGGAGAAACAGCCTGCAATTCTGGACTTGTAATCAGGGAATTAATTTACCTTACTCTGCTTTTTCAAGTCTCAAGTGACCTATTGTCCTTTGTTATGCATTGACCATCTGTAAACAGTGCACATTTTCATTTTCCTCCCCAAAATATCAAGAAACAATGTTAGTAAATATAAACAAAAGTGAACAAAATCATGAGCTGTTTGGTTTCCAGCCTCCAGGGGCCGGAAGTATGGGGTTAATGAGAATCAAATCGACGTAATGTTTTCGAAACTCTTGTAGACTCAGATACATTAGTATAATATACTTTTCATGGATGGAAGGGTCTTAAATTGCTTTCCTGAAATTAGTCTCCCCAGGGGCTCACATTTCTCCTTAGGGAGGGGTTAAAGTTTACAATAGTTTATGTTAAAACATTACATGTTTGGGCATAATTTGTTTAACATCCACTATACACAGTTAACATTTTCATTGCATGTACAATTTAATTCAAGTTGTCTTTATGTTCCAAGAACAGCAATAGTATTTATAGAACTCGGGTGACTACTGAGGCCCCTTAGGCCTCTTGTTCTTCAATAGTTACTCACAGCAGCATAATTATGCTAAGTAAGTTCAGTAACAGACCTTACAAAAGGTTTATGGATGAATACAGAGGTCATGACTACAAATTCACATTTTTGAAATTACTTTGGAGGGATGAACCAAATGCTTCCAATGCATCGCTTTAATTTTGGTTTCAAAGTTTGAATGAAGATTTTTCTTCTGTCACTAAACTTTCTTCTTTGGATCTACATTAATTATTGTGCAAACACTTGTATGACTATAGTATCACCATTTTAGTGGTACAAAAATAAGTTATCATTTCTCCAAGAAGACACTGCAGACCCGATCATGGGTCCTCATATAGTGTGCTGTACTCCTTTCTAAATTCAGAGTCTCTTTTCACCGTTATTGATCCTTAACTCATCATCAACTATTTTGTTTTAAATTTATTATTGGTTGATCCACAGTATTAGAATAAAATATTCTAAGCCCGTGGTTGATCAGCGTAGAATGTAGCTGAGGATCACATACATATGTGTTGGCAAGTAAATAGGATATATTTGCATTGTGCCTATTGATGTCTGATGTTGTGTGGCTGCATAAAGATACTTTGTGTGACTCTTGGCTGAATACTTGTTTTATGAATTTTTTTTATATCATAAGTGCTTTTATGAAACAAATGATAATTTTTGCAAATCTAAGATACTTTTTAAATACTATTCAGAAAAAAATACATTTTGACAGGTTTTAGAATAAAAATATGGAGCCCAAAATCAAGCAGAGCCATTTTAATGTGGCATTTTCAGTTGATGACGTAACGTTATTGTCAAATGAAAAACGCTCCCGAGTATATTACACTAATGGCATATACGTGAAAATATTACATGATTTGGAATACAGGCTGGTATTTTGATAAATATTGAACTTGATATCATCAAAGCAAGCTTATTATTGTTGTTTGTTTGTTGTTAATTTTTTATGACAAATTTGTCTTAGTTGGAAATATGTTTGTTTTGCAGGCGACAAAGGGTGAAGACCTATATAGAGGAATCTGCATAAACCATACAGAGACGTTTTAATTGGCATGCTACACTGTGATATTACCCAATGTGCAATGATTAGGAGATCCTACCCAATCAGCGTACAGGGATTATTCACTGCTTTGGATGTTAACCAACCATCATACAGGGATTATTCACTGCATTGGATGCTATCCAATCAGACTCAATGCAGTATTCTGACTTTTATTTGAAATGCAGTGTTTGATCAATGGCATTTATGAATGGGATATTTCTATGAAATGCATGATATAAAAACAAACATGAATGTAAAGAAAATGCATCCACAATTTCATTTATTTACAAAATGTGGTGTCTTACAATGAAGACATGACATATTTCTCGGGGCCAATATTGTAGACACTATAAGGAGCCATTTCACTCCATGAATGTAATACACCTACCTAATTCAAAACCTCAGTTATTTATCACATATGTTGTTTTGTGGTCGTTGAAGCCTTTTCCTCGAATTTCGGAATAATACAAATTTTCCCCACAAGGAAGACTCAAAAATTGAAGATTTTACGTTTTCAGGAAGCTACTTTTCATCCATACAAATTTGAATAGGACATGGACTAAAAATTGACAGAAGGCGGATAAGCGGTGATGCTGGATAACATATTTACTTCTACATAAATACATACAAGAAGACAAGCATGTGTTGTATTTAAGTGTGAATATTAATGTGTGTGTATATATGCATATATATAATTATGTTCTCCTGACCCCGAATTATTGCCCTGAGTGATAAATTGTTGATATATGTATTTACATTATTGTGCTGGACAGAACAAAGAACATGTGAAGTGCCAAATCTGTCATGTGTTGCTACAAAATAGTGTATGAATATTACTTCCATTATTATATACGAGAGACCTCAATAATGTGTATCCTTGTCGATCTATCTTCGTATTTTTTAATCTCTGGTAGATTTCTTTACTATATATATTATATTTCGTATGATCAATTTCATGATACAAGTCTTGATTAAGAAACAGTTTACCTATTATGAGCATTTGGTGCAAACGATGCCTGCATTGGTGATCTTAAATAGATGAAGAAACTGACCAAATGAAATATGGTAAATTTTGAAATATTGTCATTATTTTATCATTAGTTTTACATACTTTTAACTAATGAATTTTCATTAGATTTTTTTATCGTTTATCAGTGATCTAAAATGGATGTTCAGTATTACTGCAAAGCAAGTGCCCACAAAACAGTGTATTTTCATCCCCCGAAATACATGACTCACGAAAATATTTTTTTTCACAGTACAAATAAACAAGCATGATACATATAGTATCACAGTTTATTTCACTGTAGTAATATGCAAATGTAATATGACAAAGCTGTACCAGACAATGTAAACGACTAGAATGACCATGTTGGAATAAAAGTGAAAAAGAAATGATCAAACACCATTATATATAGAAATCGATTTAATTGTCAAATATTGAACCAGATAAATGTTTCAATGTGTTACTTTTTATATCGAGTGAAAAATTTCAGATTATTACGCGGATGTGTTAACAATTCACTCCTTTCTGTTACCAGTAATCCACTACATTCTAACTGCTACAGATATGGGTACCGTATCAAAACACGTGACCTTACCAGTACCCAGCTTAAATTAATTAAATGCGTCGGTACATATATATGTATACTTAAAACCATACACTCACTTTCAATTTTGTACAGTCTCTCCATTATGTTCTTTCTGAAATAACTATGTGATGTTTTCTTTAGAGTAGTACACGTCTGGCTTAACATGTGGGCTGATCTACCGGTATAGGGCAACACATAGGTGAGGATGGATCACGCGCGACATAGCGATAGATTTTATGAGGGTGTGATAGTAGAAAATGAATCAGAGCGATTTGCTTGTTGTTTTTCACGTTACAACATGACAATTTAATGGTAGTAACATAAATCTTGTACCCATACTTGACAACCAGGGAGCGATAACAATCATTTTTGCTCTCTGCACCCTATCCTCGATACTCCAGTGGTTACGATCACTTTCACTCTCGGATGATAGTCCCATGTGCAATACTTTGTGAGCAAGACGAAAAAACAGTTTCGTCCTTTGACGTACATCAAGCGAATCTTGGGATGGGATAACGCTTATATTGTTATTTGTAAGCATATCAACCTGTTATTTGTAAGTTTTTGTTTCCTGGAAGCAATCAAATTACTTCACGTGTGCCTTCGTCGTTGCTATGACATGCTCCAGGCGTACAGAGAGCGAAAGTGATCGTTAAAGCCATAGAGTATTGAGGATGGTAAAAAAAATGCATGAGGGCAATTGCCTCTTTGTTTTTCTTGTCAGAATATGACATGTGATCTTTCAGGGATTATTGAAATAAATCTGATACTATACTGGGTTTTCTTTCAGTAATGTGAAGCTTCACAAAACTTCCAGTGAACTCGTTGACCTTATTATTCCATTGACATTACACTTTTGTTTTGTAAAATAAGACGTTTATCATACAATATTGTGATTGGTTTAATACAATTCATACCGTTTTTTAAAGCAGTTATTATTTTTTGTAATAAGAGTTTATTAATACTTAGTAGCATTTAGTAGTACGGTCTTGCCTTCCTGACAGCTTTAATCAACTTGAGCAAAGATTTTTCGTAGAATCTATGAATTAGACACTTTTTGTAGTTTTAATATTTTTGGTAGATATTTTACAACCTGTGTTGGTATAAATCAATATTTTATTTAGCATCAGCTGTTGGAAGAGATATTGTTATGCTATACCCAATGATAGTAAAGGAAAGGTTGGGCACCTTGTGTATCTAGAGATACTTAATAATTGTATTTCATGTTAAATGTAAGTAATACTGTGTTTTATCTTAAGAGATTTCAACATTCGTATCAAATAAAAGCAGAACTTATATTACCCTATGACTTACAGTTAATAGCTATTGAGAAGAAATATTGATATCAAATTAAAAAAAAAATTGAATAATACATATCACGTACACGCGTGTTTTGAGATTCAATGCTGATGTTGTTTAAATACATATGCATCCATACAATTTATTATAATAAATTAATTGTTACACATTTTTATATGTCTTTTGTCGTATTTAAACCTTCTACGTCTCTGACATCCTCGATACTCCAGGGTTTTACAATCACTTTCGCTCTCTGCACCCATAGAACATGTCAGGGCAAAACTGAAAATAAAAACTAGTTTGACCCTTTGATGTACATCAAACAAATCTCGAGGTCGTTTTACGGTATATTGAAATGGCTTTGAAGTTAGATGTTTCTACTTTTCGATATCCAAAAGGCCTGTCATTGGTCAGTATTTTTTTCCTAAAACCCGCCAAATTAAATCGCTAGTTCATTCAATTTTGCCATGACATGTTCCAGGGATAGAAAGAGCGTAAGTGATCGTAACCCCTGGAGTATCAAGGATGGTATCCACTATCATTCGTTATAAACAAGTTCACGGTGGAGGCCTTATTATGAACATAAGAACAATTATGATTTGTTAGAGTAAATACTGGAGATTTCGGTTTTTGTTTTCTACTGCTTTATTACCAGTCGATCCTGTGTAACATGATGTGCGTGAAGATTGTCACAAATCAAACATCACCAAAGACTATTATCAGTTATACAATTTTGTAACATACCCAAGATAATAGAAAGAGATAAAACATTTAAAAATAAATTCGTTGAATAAAAAAAAAACCAAGCAAACAAAAAACAAAAGAAAATACCAACATGTCTACATAATTATAATCTAAACTCAGATTCCATAAAAGTAGGACAAAATATGAACAAAAGAAAGATTTACACGGAGACTCATGAAAACTCACAAGAAGAATAAGACCAGGTGTTGTGGAAGAGTAACCGTCTTCTGCTCTATCGACGACATCCTCCGTGTAAACTTGGTCAAGTAAGTAGTGTAACGTTCCTTACTTGGATTATTATCAAGTGATATAAATCGTTCACATTCCTACTGTTATACTGCTGTTGTTAATAGGTGTTATCATGGTAGATGATATATCAACATTCACCGACTTACAGGGTCTGTAAAAGTCCCTGATTATCTGTATCTTACGTTCGTACATCATTGTATTGCGAATTAATATCTTTAATATAAGTAATATATTGTTTTATGGTGTAGATTATCACGATTAAAGTACCTGAAGTCTATTAGTTATTTGCAGCAAAGTTAAAGAAATTTCCGTCCTGATGAAGACTCAAACGGTCAAATTTTGGAATATAAGAAAACAAGTACTTGTATTAGGCATCAAATGGAATAATCACTTTAAGTATAAATTACATATATTGCCTTCACATGTCAGTAATTACTAGTAACTTTTATAATATATTGACAGACTTAACAATATTATTCAGTAATTCGTTTGAATAACTAAGATGTTTTATGACAAATATAAGTTGTGTTTGGCATTTTTTGGAATATTACACGATGTCCATTGATAATTCAAGAAACCTAAAATTTAAGATAATATATAAACATATTATAATTTTAGGAATATAAACGATATCCATCGTATTTTGATTATATTACTTTTTAGAGTATAGGTAGCGTGGCCGAGCGGTCTAAGGCGCTGGTTTTAGGCACCAGTCTCATTGAGGCGTGGGTTCGAATCCCACCGCTGCCAATAATCTAATGTTTTATTTTATTCCATTGTGTATTTCTGGGAATTTCAAAAATATGTACAGCATTACATGCGTGTAACAGAGCTTTAAAAATGATGTATTTGAACTCCACAAATCTTACATTTACAATACCTGTCAAAGGATCGAAACGTTACAGACCGGGAAATCGCCCCACAAAACGTGCCCTTACCAATGTTGGGTCAAATGGAAACAAATTGATTCAATGTTCACAAAACTCTCCCCAGGGGCACACATTTCCCTCGTGGAGGTGTTAAGTTTACAATAGTTTATGTTGGAACATTAAAAGTTTAAGCATAATTTGTTTAATATCGTTTGAAAATATTTCAAACTTTATTAGAATCCTTTATTTTTTTAATACATCACTCAAAAACATTCATTT